TAGTTTGCATGTTAACTAAATGTTTAAAACATATCTATAACATTAGTTTGGTATATTTAGAAAAAATGAATAAATTCTATGTATGCTGGTCTTAAGATTTAAACTTAATAAATTATATAAAAAAATACCTTTTTATCCATGGGGATAACCCTTTGAGATTAAATTACAATATAAATTGAGGAAATGTAATTTTCCACATAAATTTTTGAAGAAGACATGATGGTTAAGCGGACTATTGGGCTTAACATTTCTGCGATTTCTTCGTCAGCTTTCCTTGCTGTCATGAAAACTGGAAGCCCATCAATAATTTTCAAAGCTATCAACAATTGGGCTTGGCCCAGTTAACAACTTGCAATAGTTAAATTGGCTGGAGAAGGCAAAATTCTGAGCATTTGCCTTTGTAAAGAACACGTGATCGCTTTAAATGTTCCTGAGATTCTTCCATACCCTGTGATAATAGGGGCCACATCCTTTCAAAGCATCTCTTCGTGGAAATTCTGCTATGATATTCCATTTCCTCACTTACACGTGTCCTCTTTCGTCACTATCATCATTCAGATGGAATTGTAGTTACTTAAGTTAATCTAGTAGGAATCGAAATAAAGTGCAGAGGTTCTGTATTTAGCCAATTAACATTGAGATTCTTGGTAACGTCTTTCAAAATTCAAGTCTGGCTATATGTCTCCTGTCTCCATTTCCCTTTAGAATACACATTACATCTGTCTTTTATTTTCCTGAGTGAAAAGCGAAAACCAACCAATTGCCTGTTGACACCTTAATTGGCGAATTTTATCATGTTGTTTTATTCTTTGTTATCTATTCAGTTTTTTTTTCAAGTATCATCGAGATTAAAATTTTTTTAAATAATATTGAAAATATATTTTAACATTAATTTAATATTTTTAGAGGAATTTAATAGGTTTCTCTAAATACTATTCTTAAAGTTTAAATTTAGAAAGTCACGAGCAAACTTTTTTTTTTAAAAAAAATCAACTCATTGGAATTCATTCGGTTACTTCCTTTAACAATTCTTTTTTTTTTTTCTGAATAACCCAACTAAAACTATTATCAAAATAACAAAATAGCATTCCCAATTAAGTTTTATCATTTCATACTAGCTACAGAGCGATGGTATAAGATTCTTATGTCTCTTTAGGACATGCTTCGCAAGGAATGTAATTAAAGCAAACATAATATTTGTATTAGCTTGAAAGTGAGATTTTCTAATAACATGTTTTTATTGTTTTTGGTTCATCATTGAAAATTCATTAGAAAGTAATGACAAGTACAATTTTACCCTTAAAACTTAAAATGTTTAATTTGATAAAAAGATATTTTTTTTAATATATAAACACACATATTATCTAGTTTAAAACTAATGTATGTATTGAAATGGATCCAACAATTAATTTTACTTTATAATATTATAACTATCAAGTAAATAGTATATCAATTAACAAAATACATATTAAATTAGTCATTTTTATATTAGAATATAGTGAGCATAATATATATTAGTTTTCCAAATTCATATCCTATTAAATACATAAATAGTAGTTCCCTAAAAGATTTGTGTTATTACTGCTAAAAAATAAGGATTTGATAGTTTGATTAATATAAAAGATGGGGCCATTTAAGTAATTTTATAAAAATATCTGAGGACATTTGAGGACATTTGAAATATTTAGAAATTTAAGATTTTTTTACTTGCAAAATAAAAGAAGGTTTTACATGTCAAATTTTTTTCTAAATAATCTTAAAAGTTTAAATGTCTCCTAGAAAATTTAATAGATGGTTTAAATTAAAATCTTGTTTAAAAAACATAAGCATACGGTACTCAGGCAATTGAACCCTTGTCGCGCCGCGGGCGCGGGTGGGGAGCCCTCAATTTTGAAATACGTTTTGTGAGTGTGAAATGCGAAAGCGTGGACGTGTTTTCATGATTATGCAATTTTATTAATTTGGTCTGCAGCTAAACAAAAGGCGGAGGTTGATTTTTTTAGTGGTTGTTTAAGAACCTCCTGTCCGAATGAGCTAATAAGGAGTTGATTATGACAAGACTGTACGAATGAAGGTAGTAACCACATGAAATGAACTTAGTCAGAAGCAGTTCTGACAAAACAAACATATATCTCCGGCACTTCCTTATCAACTCGTGACTTGCCAGAGGTTTACAGTAGCCTATTCATGAGTGTTTGTTAACATCTTGAAAATTATTAATCAAACAAAGAATTGCTAATTACAACCATAAACGCTTAAGGAAAGATCCAATCTTAAGACAATGATTAATTGTGTTATCTCAAGGGATGGATTCAAGCGTTAAAAATTCAATTATTGTAACACTCACGGTCTAACAATAAGTCGAAAAAGCTATAACATTGTCTCACATCTGAAAATATAAAGCAATACAATGTACAAATACGAGCATGATATGCACTTACTTAATAAAATAAATATTCACGCAAATAAGGCATAAAAATATTTCGGATATTACAATCGCTTTATTGAACCCACGATTAGTTTATATGTATATCCATTTTAATTACAACAAAAAGAAAACTATAACCGTGTTGCTTTAAATGCACGTACATATATCTCATTGTTTATAAAAAAAAAAAAAAAGCTTATTAAGAAACGATGGTGATTTCTGTTAATAAGAAAAGCAACATTGGGTGCTAAGCGTTAGCTAACTAGAAGCTAGAAAAAACAATTCAATTAACTGAATTAAGTGACTTAGGTAAATTTAGTTTACATGAAAGAAGAAAGTAGTTTAAACACAAAAAGAGGATTGTCCCCGTGCGTTGTGCTTCTAGTCTAATGGGTCTTCCTATAGAAAAGGACAAATAAAAAGACAATTATCATGAAAATAAAAGGGAAAAAAATATATTCATTAACAAAAAAAAAACCTAGAAAATGTCAGAAGAAATTATTTTATGCGTAATTATCGGCTACGCGGAGAGAGATCCCCGTCATCGTCACCCCATGTGATAGAGCAATCAGACGAAATAGTCCAAGTGGAAAAAAAAAGAAAAAAAGAAAAAAACATCTCATTTGAAAATAAATTGATGTAAAATACGTAGTTTTTTTTCCATCCAAAGCAATTGTGATAGTTACAGGAAGCCGATTTTGATCCTGACTCCTAAGAACCAAAGATTAGTGGTGCGCTTATCCAATCTTTGATGAATCTATTGATAATTAGGCAATTCTATACAATTGACATTGAGATTCTTGGCAACGTCTTTCAAAATTCAAGTCTGGCTATATGTCTCCTGTCTCCATTTCCCTTTAGAATACACATTACATCTGTCTTTTATTTTCCTGAGTGAAAAGCGAAAACCAACCAATTGCCTGTTGACACCTTAATTGGCGAATTTTGTCATGTTGTTTTATTCTTTGTTATCTATTCAGTTTTTTTTTTCAAGTATCATCGAGATTAAAATTTTTTTAAATAATATTGAAAATATATTAGGAGGTAATGATTAATTTGTTATTTTGTTAAAAAACAAATACATCTGACTGCATCTATACCATTCCTAATTAATTCGTGAAGTATTAATCCTTTAAGTCTTAAGTCACAAATAACAAATTAATCATTACCTCACTAGTCAGTGATCCATAATCTTTGGCTCAAGATATAAAACAGCATGTTAGGCTCTTCTAAATTCTCCTACGAAAAATTAGGAAGCCAACGAACTCGGTGGAGGTAAGTCGCTAGGTTTGTCAATAGAAACTAATCCATACAACCTTCAAGTTAAACTGCTTAGGAGTGTAAATCCAGAGGGATCCGTGTATCTTAGATGGTTAATAGGCTGTCTGTATTGGTTGAAAAAGTTGGTGAGGACCCAGCCGCAGAATTAGACCATTTCTCACAATTGATGGCGAAATTGGATCAATCGAGTAATAGACAGGTAATGAAAACCAAGCAAGTTTTACCGGTTCCTAATTCATAAACATCCGGCCTTGCAAACAAAGCAGTGTTTTTTTTATTTTTTATAATTCTATCATTGCAAAACTGGCCTGTGGCCAATTAAATAAAAATAAAAATAAAAAATAAAAAGAATTGAGGTGTCAGAGAGAATGTGACTCGAAACAGTTGACATATGCATGTAATGGTTTTGTGTTAGCCCCAGTAACATAATTAACCACGTAAGCCAGAAGGATCTTGCTTTCCACTTTCTTCATTCGTGTATTGATTGTGAAGTGTCACAGAGCAGTATAGCAATATCTTCCTACACTTTTTAATGACATGTCTTTAGCTACCACTAAACAGCAGGCCCCGCACACTGTGTTTGCGTACACGAATCGTGTTCTATCTTGCCACTAGATAATAATTTGATGCGTGCATTTGCATAATGGTACCCAAATTTTTATTCATTTACTATCCACCCAACCCTCGTCTCTAGATTATTGATCAGTAAAGATTGACCAGTAAGTGGTTCAGAACAAAAAAGATTAATTATGATGGAGTACAGGACGAACGAGGAAATACTGCCAAATGGCAGGAATTTGTTACATGCAATAATGCGGGATTATCAAGTTCTGGAAGGGGGAAAAAAGCAGACAACGAAAACTGCAGGGATACAACCGTCATTTTAAGTTCGTCACTACGAGAATCATGATATTGTCTTATTTTCCGTTGGTAAATGAAACGTTCTGATCTCTTTATTGAAAAAAGAAAAAAGAAAAAAAGAAGAAGGATAACTATGATGTTTATTTGTTCACTAAGTATAAATAATAATAAGTGGATGAAGAAGCATCAAAGGAAAAAAAGGAAGATCCCTATCCCGTGTTACCATGCCTCCCTCCCTCCTATAAAAAGACACCAGCTCTAGACCAAAGTCCCTTAGGCTCAGGTCCCATTCAATAAAGCTTGCGCACATTTTCACACCACAATAAAAAAGTTCAAGATCCGCTCAAAGCACTCACATTTCACCAACAAAGCTCAGCTAAGCTAGGTAGCTAGCTCCACAAAGTAACAAAAAACATACAGGAAGCAATTTATGGAATCGATCAATTCCTTCAAGGGATATGGTAAAGTAGATGAGGTCGATCAGCAAGCCTTCCGGCGAAAGACACGTAAGCGTTGGATCATTGTCGTTGTCTCCTCCGTCGTTCTTTTAGCTGTGATCATTGGTGCTGTTGTAGGGGTTGTTGTGCACAACCGAAACAATAACTCATCATCCAACCCCGTCCCTCCTTCTGAGTTAACTCCAGCCGCTTCACTCAATGCGGTTTGCAGTGTCACTCAGTACCCAGCCTCATGTTTCTCCAGCATCTCTGCCCTTGAAACAGGTAACACCACAGACCCAGAAGTGCTTTTCAAGCTCTCTTTACAGGTTGCAAGGAACGAGCTCTCCAAGCTCATAGGCTACCCTGATAAGCTCATTCAGAGCATTGATGATGCTACACTTCAAGATGCTTTGAAAGTCTGTGCAACCATGTTTGATGATGCTGTAGAGAGACTCAATGACTCTATGGCATCTATGGCTATTGGTGAAGGTGAAAAGATTTTATCAGCAGCTAAGATGGATGACTTGAAGACTTGGCTCAGTACTACAATTACTGACCAAGAAACATGTTTAGATGCGTTGCAAGAGTTGAACACTACGAAGCATTTTAACCAGACAATTGTTGATCAAGTGAAGGCAGCAATGGAGAACTCTACTGAGTTTGTCAGCAATAGTTTGGCCATTGTTGCAAAAATCCTGGGTTTGCTGTCTGATTTCAATATCCCAATTCATAGAAGGTTACTTGGATTTGAAAATTCAGGGTTCCCACATTGGGTTGGTTTGGGAGATAGAAGGCTACTTCAGGAGTCTAATCCGACGCCGGATGTCACGGTGGCGAAAGACGGTAGCGGGGACTGCACGACCCTAAGAGAGGCAGTAGGAAAAATTCCGAAGAAGAGTAAATCAAGATTCATCATATATGTGAAGGAAGGTGAATATGTGGAGAACGTGGTTTTGGACAAAAGCGCTTGGAATGTGATGATTTATGGTGATGGGAAGGACAAGACTATTGTTTCAGGGAGTCTGAATTTTGTTGATGGAACTCCTACCTTCTCTACCGCTACTTTCGGTCAGTCCTTTTTCTGGTTAATTACTTTACCAATTATGAATGCATCCATGATTCAAATTTCACAATTGTTTTCCAGATTTCTTTATTTGTCTTTCTCATCTCGCATTGCATATCATTGCCCAAATTCGGGAAACTCTATACTTAGACACATGAATTGAATTCAATTCTGTGTGCCATGTGAATCCTTCTGCTAAAGAAAAGAGCAACTGGAAGCAGAATGCCATCTTCTACTGAAGGGATTAGGAAAGGCACATGGATTTGGATGTCCGCTACCTCACGTGAATTGATGTGAAACTCTTACCTGAAATTCTGCTAGTCCCCATAAATATTGCTTTGAGCATAATTAAATTAGATTGTATCTATGCTGGGGACCCACCATGTGCTTGTCTGTCTTCTGATTTATGGTCATTATCTTTCATGATGGTACCCAATTTTTTCCCATAATTCAAGCTAAGTGATGCATAGAGATTAGGACTTGGGTTCATCTGGGAGCTGTCCAGGATGTTGAAGGTCTTAAATGCCCCTTTCGCTTTATTTATGACATGGTAAGTTGCTAACAATATATGGCTGATTTTGGTGGTCAATCATTGAAGAAGAAGGGCTAATTTTCTTGGTACAAATTTGTAGGTACGACTATCGACATTAATGAACTTAATCACTGTAGTTTTCACTTTTCTGGCCAGAGATAGGTAGTATCACTGGTACTATAACTATAGGGATTCAAAGTGCTTAGATATTAGCGTAAAGAAACTTCAGCGGACAGCACACGTGACAGATGTTAGCTGTGCTTTATGACTGTAGTTTTGTTTGTCCGCAACACTTGCACTAGAACATGCATTCCCCACTTTCTGTCTTTGTTTTCTCATCCCAAAACTGGCCCTCCAAACCCAAGAGAAAAGGTTCACACTTCTCTCGGAGGATGCTGTTACGTTCGCATGAATAGACAGGCTGACCATTCAATTTTGGCAGGGTCATGGATAATTTACCAGCTATTGGTTCAAATATTTGATTTTTTTTTCAAAAGCCAGCATATCATGTGCATCCATAAAATGAGTACTTAGTAATAACTTTACTGATGTGATCACCAGCGGCTGCGGGCAAGGGCTTCTTTGCCAGAGACATCAAGTTCATTAACACGGCTGGGGCAGTAAAGCACCAAGCAGTGGCCTTCAGGTCAGGTTCGGACATGTCAGTATTTTTTCGGTGTGCATTTGATGGATTTCAGGACACACTCTATGCTCACTCGAATCGACAATTCTACCGTGAGTGTGACATCACCGGCACCATTGACTTCATGTTCGGCAATGCCGCGGTCGTGTTCCAAAATTGCAACATCCAGCCCAGGCAACCCTTACCGAACCAATTCAACACCATCACAGCTCAGGGAAAGAAGGATCCTAACCAAAACACTGGAATTTCCATTCAGAATTGTAAATTTTCTGCGTTAGGTAATGTTACAGCTCCAACTTACCTTGGTAGGCCTTGGAAAAACTATTCCACTACTGTCATTATGCAGTCCGATATTGGGCCATTCTTGAGTCCATCAGGTTGGATATCATGGGTCAGTGGTGTGGATCCACCTCCCACTATATTCTATGCAGAGTATCAGAATACTGGGCCTGGTGCTAAGGTTGATGGAAGGGTTAAATGGGCCGGTTACAAGCCAGCTCTAACTGTAGACGAGGCAGGGAAATTTACCGTGGAAACCCTCATCCAAGGCAGCGAGTGGTTACCGGCAACCACAGTAACGTATCAATCAAATCTATGATTTAAAATTGTTTGGGAGGTTTGGTTTTTGATCAAGTATCGTAACGAAATATAAGTCAAGTTTGGTAAATTAAAATATCTCTAGAAGAGGGTGATTTTGTTATCTTTACTCTTTTTTTTTTTTCTTTCGTTCGAGAGGATAATGTTTATAAATATTGGTATTCAAATTTACATCTTTTGTTACCCTCATTTTTTTCTTTTTCAAAGTATTAATGTTACACTCTATTTCAATATGTATGTGTAACCTTTTCAGCTTTCCCCCTCTCTTAGAAGACTTATTTCTTTTTTTTCAAGTTATTTTTTTAATCAAGCTCGAAGTTAAAGTCCTTGCAATTCACATTGTCTTTTGGAAGTCGTTCCAGCTTTATGTCCCAGAAATAGACAGGGAATATAACCTTTTCCTCTCCCTAATTTCAAAGTTGTAAGGATGCCTCTGCATGCAGTCCATTAGTCGTCTATTTATTTTTAATTTTTTTAAGCTGTCAGGGCCTTAATTCTCAAATTCGTTTGAGTATTGTGGCAAAAAAAAACGCTTAATTAACCAGTTCACGGACACGTGAAAGCCACATGATGCGCTTGGGGAATCTCGATGAAAGACAGGTTCTTCAGAATCAACACAAGATGGCAGCCATTCCCCTTCACAGTCTTTTTATTGCACACAAACAAATCGCCAATGAAATATCATCTGATTAGTGTTTTTTTATACATCTATATACAATGGAGTATTTTCGACTCAATTTTCATATGAATTAAAATTAAATTCATTAATTTTAGATTAAGCAAGTATTAGAATATGTTTAACGACAGGAAACCATTAGATTGTTTTTAAATTAAATCTACCAAACATAAAAATTGTTCAGTTTAACTTTTAAGATCAGTCTGTTGTCTATAATGTTGATTGATTTTATGATTATTCTAATGTTTTATTTTATTTTTGCTTTGGTGTTATTATTTTTTCGACATATTAATTCATTATTTGGTTTAATTTAATTTGTCTGTCTTCCCATTGAATCTCATTTTTTGCTGTTATAAGATAACGACAACCTCGTCATTTTTTTATTTAACATCTCTTATGGAAGTACCACATTAAATAAATAAAAAATGGAAGAACTCAAAATAAGTAGAATTGGAATACAAGAAATCAAATAAGAATTACTAAATGTTGTGAATTCATGTAGACAGCCGCTTGAAAGAATAAATAAATAAATAAATCTCTTCATAATAAATTCACAAGACAAAAACCTAACCTGGCTATATATATATATATATATATGTATCCACTCTCATCACCTTACCTCGTAATTTCCGTTCCATCCTTGATCCTAACAAAACAGTGAGTAAATTCCAATAAAGAAAACAAAGAGAGATTTATTTTTGTTGTTACTAAGAATAGGTGCAAAACTATGAACACTCGTTTACAACCATACAAATACTTAGGAAAAAGGATGGGTCAGGTGTCGAACATTAAGATCCCGTAGAAGATAGAGATACTTCTTTACATTTTAAATGAGTTCTCTCTTTTTATATTTGGTGTTAGGTACGGGAAACAGAGAGAAATTAGTGATGAATCAAATATACTTTCCCTTATCACCATGATGTGAGATTGTGTCATTGCGATGGGCATTAAAATACGACGGCTTTGCACCTTGTACAAGCTCAAGAAATGTTTTTTTTTTTTTTTTTTAAAGAAATAAAAGGAGGGGAGGCTTCCTAATATGTAGTAAATTATAAATTAGTTTTTCTTATTTTGAAAAATTAATTAATCAATCATTTTTTTTCAAAAATTAATTATTTAATATTTTACCATTGAGTTTTTGCTAGATTGATCAAATTAATAAATAATATCTAAAACATTATTTTCATTAAAATGAAAAATGATGAATTAAAGGTCACAAAATACTTATAATTTCTACATCATTCTCTTGTATGGTTCATAATTGTATGAATTAAAGATCACACAAATAGTATGAAATAAGAGTTTTTATTTTATTATAATGATAGAAATTGTTTAATAAAAAAAAATAGAGCGAAGAAGTTAAGGGTCTCAAAAATGACATGAAAATAAATTTTTTTTTATTATGACATGAAGATGGTTGAGATGAGATAAATGAAGTGATTAAAGAAGAAAAATAAAACATTCTTTAATGAATAATATGAGAACATAACAAAGAATAATACTTTATTTATCATTCTAATTAAAAAAAAACTGATAAAATGATTAAGTTATTGAAGGAATTAAAAAATTAAAAATTAAATAATTAGTTTTACTTGATTTGTTTTTTAAAAAGAGGGACTAATTAATAATTCTTTCACCTAATCTGAAATAAAATGTTCTGAAGTTCAACGGAAGAGATGGATGAATACACCCGATTCAAAGAAGTCTGTGGGCTGGGGCACACAACAAACGAACAGAAAGTTCAGACAGAAACAAGGAAACTTCCCCTCTTGCTCCTTCCTAGATTTTCAAAGTCGGTTTCATAAAAAGACACAAAAGCCCTGTTTTTTCTCGCGCTCTCTCTCTCGTGCGTTCTTGTTGACATATTTTTGTGTGTGTGTTATGCCATTCAAATAACATCTGTACTATATATAAAAGGATGCGGAGATTCGTGATTGGTTCGGCAAAAGCCCTTTTCAACCGCTCCTGTCAAAATCATCCAAACGTGCTGCTGCGTCCTTTAGCCTCTTCTCATTCGCGTTTCCTGTCCTCTACCTCTGTTCTTGATTCTCCTCCTCCTCCTCCTTCATCTATGGCTCCTGTTTCTCTTGATACAATTAACCCCAAAGTACTTTTTTCCTTTTCTTTTTAAGTGCTTTTATTGATTTACAGTTTGGTTGTTGATTTTGGGTGGATTTTTCATGTGGTTTTGTTTATATATTGGCTCTCGGGTTTTATGCTCTGGGTTTAATATTTTTTTTTTTTTTGGTCTGTTCTGTTTCTCTTTGTTGTACTAGATCCTTTCTGGCTATTGGGTTGTGCAGTGCTTGATTTGTCTGTGCCTTTTTCTTTTATGGATACATTTCTGTCCATTTTTTGTGTTGCTCATGTATGTATTAAAATGGACTGTATAGATTGGAGCCTTTATGCTCCAAACTGGATGTCCAGCAAGCAAGGCGCATAGGCGTAGTGATTCTTTCTATGTTTACCTTATTTATTGCAAAGTGTTAATTGTGCTTAGTGACAATACCATATTCTATTGAATCTGATTAAGAATATGCAAAAGCACTTTCTGTTCCGTGCACGCACTATCGATTTTAAAATTCTTAAATTTGATTTACCTGAAAAAACACGAATAATCATTTTTACTGAAGTCAAGGAGTGTTTGACTGTGAACTTAAAATTAAAGAAGTTTATTATGAAGTTTTGAGATTGAGTTCTTAAGTGTTTGGTTATTGGTAACTTCTCTCTTACTCTCTTGAATTTTTCTGTTTATTTTTTTCCTGATATTCCTGGTTTATTAACCATGACATTTTGTTTTCCCAGGTTTTGAAATGTGAATATGCTGTCCGTGGTGAGGTTGTCACCCTTGCACAGGTAACTTATATGACTGGCGGTATTATGCACTGAAACATTAGAAAGGGCAGGATTTTTTATTTGAAATTTGAGCTTTTACTTCTTGTGATTTTGTTAAAGGAGCTATATCTACTGCATGCGATCATGAATTTTCTATCATCTTACACAGGCGTTACAGGAAGAATTAAAGTCCAAGCCAGGTTCTCATCCCTTTGATGAGGTGTGTTACTTTTATCTTTGACACTTTGTTCTTATTGGGATTATAAACATGGTATTTATCTAGCATGATTAAGCTGCCCGAAGGTACATCAATGATGTTGTTCCTGCTGCTATTGTTGTGTTGTGTTACTTTTTCTGTTAGGTACTAGATTCAGAGTAAATTTCTTTACTTCTTGATTTTGTAGAAAGCAGATTTTCCTTGCTGGATTTTTAGTTTTCTATGAATTGACATTCTTTTTCAACTGAGATAATATAAAATGAGTTTGATCAACTCTTATAAGAACAAGAAAAAGGAGATGCTACATGCATGTTTCCTTTCAGTGGATACTCCCTAAAGACTTCATTTTGATTTGTGATTCATCTTATGGCAGATACTTTACTGCAATATTGGAAATCCTCAGTCTCTTGGTCAGCAGCCTATCACCTTTTTCCGCGAGGTGAGTTTATAGTTGTGCATTGTAGGGGGCTGTGCTTTGTATTCAATTGGGGTTTTCCTCACCACTGATTATTTTTGCCTTAGGTTCTTGCATTATGTGACCATCCTTCCATTCTGGACAAAAGTGAAACTCAGGGTTTGTTCAGGTATTTAAACATTTCATGTGTTCATTGAACTTCTCTGTATGCTTGTTTTCACCAGATGAAGAAAGCATATTATACTGTTTTCTCTTTACTAAGAACCTTTTAGGGAGTATGAGTTAACCTTGAATTCTTGAGTTTGCCTATTTTTTATCATTCATATTTTATACAAGAACTCCATTTTTATTGAGTAGGTGATATATTGAAGGATACTGATACATTTCTATGAATTTTTGTAGTGCTGATGCCATAGAACGAGCTTGGCAGATTCTTGATCAAATTCCTGGAAGGGCCACCGGTGCTTATAGTCACAGTCAGGTTATATTCAAAGCTTTCACCTTGTGGGCTTTGAAAATGGAATATTTGTGTAGATAGCATGACTTATATTTTCCCTCTCCACATCAGGGAATCAAAGGGCTGCGTGATACAATTGCTGCTGGAATTGCAGCCCGTGATGGCTTTCCTGCTGATCCAAATGATATTTTCTTGACAGATGGTGCAAGTCCAGCGGTAACATTTAATTCCATATGAACAGAGGCACTTGTATTTATTATACTCACATCATATGAAACTAATGGTGCTTCTTTATTCTCAGGTCCACATGATGATGCAGTTACTGATACGATCAGAGAAGGATGGAATACTTTGTCCCATTCCTCAGTATCCCCTGTACTCTGCTTCAATTGCTCTCCATGGTGGTACTCTGGTATGTCTTCTGATAAAAAAATTGCTATTCGGAAACTTAAGTGAAGTTATTTGGTTAGCTATTCTGACGTGGTGAGTTTTAGGTGACTCATGGCTGTGAGCCAAGCAAGGTTTAATCCAAGTTGCTAGTTGCTTCATGAACTTTTCTTGTAGCATAGAGTTGAAATGGACTTGTTCTAATAGAGAAGTTTGAATATTACCATGTTGAATTGGACTTTTGAGTTTGAAGTAGAACTTTATGCTTCTTTCAGGTTCCATACTATCTTGATGAAGCAGCTGGGTGGGGCTTGGAAGTTTCTGAGCTTAAGAAGCAATTGGCAGATGCAAAGACCAAGGGAATTACTCCAAGGGCCTTGGTTGTGATAAATCCAGGCAACCCAACAGGGCAGGTAAACAGTAATTAGCTTTATAGAAATTGGATTAGATTTTCAAATGAGTGAGGATTTAAAACTCCATAATTATTGTTCTTGCAATGGAGCCAATCACTCTCTGGCTTGCTTTTATAATTTGATTTCATTGTCCATGTCTCAGGTTCTTGCAGAGGATAATCAGCGGGAAATTGTGGACTTTTGCAAGACAGAAGGTCTTGTTCTTCTTGCGGATGAGGTAGATGCATGCCAATAGTTTTGAACTAGCCTTACTTTCTTGACTTCTCACTGCATTTGTCTAGGTTGATTGACCACCTAATTGTCTGGTGAATTTCATACAGGTTTATCAGGAAAATGTTTATGTTCCTGAGAAAAAGTTCCACTCATTTAAGAAAGTTGCTCGGTCTATGGGTTATGGTGAGAAAGATATATCTGTGGTATCTTTTCAGTCTGTCTCTAAAGGTAAAATTGCTTTACAAGTTAAAATTAAAAGTTCCTGCACTTTTTTTTGAATTTAAATATGTTAGGAGTGTACCATTTGTAATGTTTCAGGTTACTATGGAGAGTGTGGAAAGAGAGGAGGTTACATGGAAGTAACTGGCTTTGGTCCTGAAATAAGGGAGCAAATATACAAAGTCGCATCTGTGAATCTATGCTCCAACATTTCTGGTCAAATTCTTGCAAGTCTTGTCATGAGCCCACCTAAGGTTGATTTTTTTGGTGACTGACCTCGTTTTCCTAAGCCTGTGGTTGTGGCATTTGGATTTATGATCTAGGATTAGACCAGCCTAAGCTTCAGCAAACTTGAATTAGTATTCACTGTCACATTGTTACTGAGAACACAGTGGAAAAACAAAAGAACTCGTAAAGTTTTACTTATTTCTTATTTCAACTGATCTCTATCAGTGCATGTATGCAGGTTGGAGATGAATCATATGAATCATACTCTGCAGAGAAAGATGGCATCCTCTCATCTTTAGCGAGACGTGCAAAGGTCAGTTTAATGAAGTTAATTTATTGTATTAGTTAACATAGTCGATATAAAATACTGCATTTTTTCAAGGAGTAAATTGGTTTCTGGAATTTAATGGATATCTTTTGAAGTAAATGCAAACTTGTGGCAATATAAGTTTTGAATAAAAAATTAGGTATTAAGAGACTTGGACCTAGTTTTAAATTGCTGACGTGGTTGTAAAAACAGTTGCGATCATAATCGTGGATTGCGGCTTATCGCGATTGTAAAATAACAGTTGCGACAATAGATGTCTAAAATGCATTAGCAACTATTAATAAATTTATTGTAACTTACATATTTTTAGCTATTTTACTAATGAAGCATGATAATATCTCTAGTAGTTAGACATCATGTAATAATGGTTGAATTTATTACAAAAGAAAGTTAATAACACTTCTAATAGTTTAATATCACACAAAAATAATAAAATACATTACAACTTCAAGATGTAAGATGGATTTTTAAAAAAAGAACAAAAAATAAATAAATATAGCGGTTTTTATTTGTGTGAATTATCAATGGGGTCCCTATGATGGCAAATAAAGTAACGGGTGTGCCTGATACCATTAAATAATGGTCGTTACGTAATTTGAAGCTATGCTCTTTGGTGCTTCTTTTTCTACTTTTTGCATAGTAGATGTGTGCTGTAGTTTGGGCATTTTTTATTCACAGCTTGTAGAATTGCTTGGTAGCTAAACCTTCTCCCCCTGTTCTCCCTACACTTTTATCTGAAAGCTTGTTACATAACGCCAGACACTGGAAGACGCATTCAATAAGCTAGAGGGTGTAACATGCAACAAAGCAGAAGGTGCAATGTATCTCTTCCCCCGCATCCGCTTGCCTGAAAAGGCAATTAAAGCTGCAGAAGCTGCAAAAACAGCTCCGGATAACTTCTATTGCCGCCGTCTTCTCAACGCCACAGGAATTGTTTTTGTTCCTGGTTCTGGCTTTGGGCAGGTGAGTTTGTTAAGCTTCTTAATTGGAATAATTGTGCAAAGACTTTATTTGTCTTCTCTTTCATCATTTGTTTGACTGATTCTTTGATTTTTTTTTTGGGTGAAAGGTTGCGGGCACTTGGCATTTTAGGTGCACCATACTGCCTCAAGAAGATAAGATTCCAGCTGTTGTCTCCCGTCTCACAGAGTTTCACAAGAGTTTCATGGAGGAGTTTCGCAATTGAAGGGTCTTTGCTTTCTTAGCCAATGAAAAATTACAAAATAAGATGTAGTCCATCATGTTGCGTTGATACATTTTAATCTCTTTTTGGAAGGATATAGAGATGTTTTTTCTTTTATTGCTCCTCCATGGAGTGTTTCTTTTGGCCTGTGTGATCGAGAAAGATATGCTAGCTTGTAATCCATTTCTTGAAAACGAAGTTGAGTAACCTTTATGCAGCACAATTGGCGCGAATAATGACATGTCTTCGCATCCTCTTTATTCTCTTGCAAGTTGCAAGTAGTACACTTCCCCAACCATGTAAAGTTCAAATGGGCCAATGCCGGTATGCTGCAAGGTTTTGGGTATTGCAGGTTTATATGAAAATGGTGTTTAGTACATGTTCGATTTAAAAAAGAGAGAGAGAGAGAAAAGAAAAGAAAGAAACAAACCTTGCATCATATATAATAAGCGATTTGTCCCTGAATTGGAATCGTCTTATTTATTTATTTGTTTAGTATCTCTCTGTATGTTAATTACATTCTACCGTCCATTTACCCCGGCATATATGGATATTAGTTTACCTTTTATATGTGTAGTTACAAAATTGTAACTGAAGTAATGGAACCTATTTCTTTTTTCTTTAGATAAATGTTTTATATATTCAAGCAAAATGAAGTACGAAGATGAAAACCAAATTATGACAGAACATAGTATTATCAAGACCAAGAAATTTAAATAAAAACAACAAAATATATTTCTTACCAAAAAAAAAAAAAAAAACACTAACAAAATTGCGAATGCAATTGTCGTGAAAACATGCAGTTTATGGTACATTAGCAAAAAAAATGTTAAAACGAAACTATTATTTACCATAAGTGTGCTATTCATTTGGCTGTTCACTTGGATTTATTATTACTGCGATTCTACGAATATACTCTTTATATTTTATTATGCATTTTATCATTGGGTATATTATTACTGCGATTCTACTAATATACTCTTTATATTTTATTATGCATTTTACCATTGGGTATTGTGTGTGTGAATTACATATAGATTAAAAATATAAGAATCAATTTTAATATTTTAATTCATTGCAAAAATTTAAGTGAATGCAATTAAAATGAAGGAATTTTTCTAATTTAATACGGATGTTATGGTATATTTTATGTTGGAGTTCAAATATTTTTAATGGATATGTTAGATTTTGATTAATAAAAAAGAAAAAATCTACAACTAATTAGTTATTTGACAAAAAAAATAAAAAAATCTAATTAGAAAAGTTTAATAATAGGAAGAAGGCAAAAATCAAAATTGAAAGGGTGTTTGAGCAAAATCTAAATTGAAAGGAAGCTTAATTTTAGTTAATAAATCCACAATCGTTAACTAAAAACCACACTATTCCCCACTTGATAGTAAAACATTCATTTTTTTTATTGCACATGGATATAATTCTGAACATCAAATCTCAATAATTCAAATTTGATTTACATAAACAATAAGATTAGGTGATGAATAATTTGATGTGTTTTGTTGGTATATGGATTATGGTACTGAGGTTTGCTATGTTTCATATCATGCACAGAACCCAAGTAAGCTGTAATGCTGTTGTTTGCTACGTTCTTTTCTCCTTTAAAAAATCTGCAAACACACCAACTCCTAGTGTTTGTCAACCAATCAATTTCTTTGCTGTTGGTGTTTTTGTCAAAGATGATGGAGGATGGACACCTCAAAAGAATCTCTGCCGTGTTCAAATTTTCTATCATCTACCCTATGTTGGATAATTCCTCTTGAGAGGAAAGAAAAGGGAGGAAAGAAAGTGAGAGAAAAGAAAAAAGGAAGGAAAAAAAATTATTTTTCACTTGTTGTTTGGATAAGAGTGGAAAGGAAAGGAAAGAAAATACATTTCTTTTGTTTGGAAGAGGAAGGAAAGAAAATATATGATTATATATTTACTATAATACCCTTATGATTATATTTATATATTAATTTTTATTTAATAATAATTTTGATAAAGAAAAAGATGTTGTTGTTGAGTGAGAATTGAAATGGATAAGATTTTATGTTGTTCTTGAGAAATTAACCCTCCCAAAATTTATCATATTTTTTATATTGATTTTTTATTTTTATTTTTTGTTGATTTTAGTTAGTTAATTTTTTTTTTAAAAAACTTTTTGAATAATATTGAGATATTTCATAAACTTCAAGGATAAAAGATGATGATATGTTTTTATTTTTATGTTTGTTACATAGGTGATCTTTGTTTATTTATTTATTTTTATTACTAAAGGACGTGTTTTCCTTACGTTTTTATGATAGAAAAACTTTTCTAATAAAACAAAGAAAGCAATTTTATATGGAAGTTGTAAAAAAAAAAAAAAAAGCCAAAACATGATACTGGTAGGTGAGGGAGTTCGTTAAAACCAAGTCACCAGCGTAACAATAAATAATATAAAGTCTCAATCACTCTTATTTATAGCTGCTGGAAGTGAAAGTGTTTCAGACTTTCAGGGATCCCTTGGATTAAGTTTGAAAAATTAGAGGACTAAAGTGAATTACGAATTAGTTTATTAAGCCAGCAACAATTCGATACAAGGCAGGCTCGTGTGAAGAAAAACGCACACGGGAAGGATTAGTTTCTTGATTAGTTTTTGGCACTTTTTGGTTGAAGGGTATATAAAAGAAAAAAAAGCGTTAATCGCGCTTTCAATTGCTTTTCTTGATCATTTAATTTTTAAGACACAGAATTACAGCTGCTTCTGCTTCTGCTGCCTCTGCTTCTCCGCAAACGCCGCCATACCCTCTCTCTTTCTCTCTTCTCTTATCTTCTCTCCTCCCCCAATTTAAGTCTTTCTCTCTCTTTCTCTCTGATGCTTTTGCAGCTCTTTTTTAGCTTTCACTGACTCAGCAATGCTTCTCTCGTTCTTCTTTGTGTTGTGCTTGTTTCTAAAACTAACTAAGCCGAGTGAGTCTCTTCTCCTCTTCCTTGGCTTAGCCAACTAATTTTATGTTGATAAAAAAAATCTAGCATGAGTTTCCTTCCGTTTTGCAGAGAGAAGGAGAGAAGGAGTGGATTTGTAGAAGTTCTATGATGGCTGTTGGTAAGCGAGAGCGAGAGAGTGCAGGGAAGAGGAAGAGAAGCGATGGTTGCCGAGGGTGAAACTGGAAGAACAATGAGCTAATGCGTTTCCTTCCGTTTTTCTCCTCATTTCCTCCCAATTTTGGGAGGAAAATGGGTCCCACCTCTTTTAGCTTTGTTTAATATTTTTTTTCTTTCCCCAGCTTTCTTCTGCAAGCCAAACGGAGGAAACCTTTTCTTTCCTCCTTATTTTCTTTCCTCTCCCCCACTTTCTACCCTATCCAAACAGAGGGCTAGTCTATAGTTGACTTTGACCCAGGGGGAGAAATTCCTTCCCTCGAATGGGGACAATCTTTAGCCACTGTCTTGGAAGTTTAATGCCTAACTTGATTGATTTTCTATTTGAGTATCCAACTTTCAATTTTACGAATTTGAGTTGCTTGTCTTTACCTTTTTTTTCCCCCTCTAATATGGTATCTTTATTAGTTAAATTGTACAACATGATAAAAATATGGATCCGGATTGAAGAAATCGAACGTACAAATCATCGATTAATTTTAGAATTAACATTTCTTTAAAAGAAAATTAAACAAAAAATTCATATCATGTTGCTTATTGGAAACTTCAAATTTTATCAACTAATTAGTTATTTGACAATATATATATATATATATATATATATATATATATATATATATATATATATATATATATATAATTAGAAAAAGTTAATAATAGGAAGAAAGCCAAAATCAACATTGAAAGGGAGTTGGAGCAATCTAAGTTGAAAGGAAGCTTAATTTTAGCTAATAAATCCACAATTGGTAATTAAAAATCACATCATTCCCGACTTGATAGTTAAAACATTCATTTTTTTTTCATTGCATATGGATATAATTCTGAAATCGATAATTCAAATTTGATTTACATAAACAAATGATAAGATTAGGTGATAAATAATTTGATGTGTTCATGCAACTTTAAAAAAAAAAAATCATATTTTTTAAAGTACATTGAAGAGTTATGATCAACTTTTTACTAAGATATAGTCAACTGAAAATTAATATTAAATAAAAAAATAAATTGCTACCTATTACATCCTTTTTTCTTCTAAATACTAATTTACTAAACGCATTGATACTTTTTTTTCCTAAAAAATTTGATGTTATATCGACTCTATATTACAGTTATTGCTATGAATTTTTGAAACCATACATCTTATTTTGATTATCGAACCTTTATTATTTTCAATAAATTTTATACTTAAATCATTTTTTTAGATTGAATGGATAATCATTGCTTTGCCAATGATATTTAACAACAATCACAAAAGGGTTATTAAACTTATGAAAAATCATCACTATCTTTTTATAAGATTGTATGTAAAATCTAAAAATAATGAATAATTCTCTATGATATTGGAGAAAGTTTTGATTTTGAAGTTATAATAAAAAAAAAGTACAAAAAGAAAGAAAGAAAAGAAAACATGAGGAAAGGAATTTTATTTTATTTTTTTATCTTTTTAAAGACAAATGAGCCTGGGAGTGCACGAGGCCCATGCCTATGGGCCTGGAAACATTCAGGCTCGCTCAATTATACGTGAGGCCCAAAAATGAAAAAAATGAAAGGAGGTGGACGACCATTCGAGACAACCCTCGAAATCCAAGGACGAAAGTGCATGTATTTGTAAAAATACCAAAATACTCATCGTAGCTGAGAAAGTAGATGGGACCCACCAAACGCTGTAGAAATATCTATTTTCAAGGTAAATAATCACCTCCCCAATTCTTGGACATTAGTTCCGTTAGTTGTACAGTACTCGTGCGTTGCGTTGATAAGTCTATAAAATTTATTTTAATTGACTTATAAAATTTATTTTAATACTTTTAATTGATTTTAAAAATCCAAGAGAATGAAGTAAAAATGAATTTATACTGATTGTGGAAAATTTTAAGTCAATATGCATCATGCATTATTTAATATTATGTGTATTTTATATTTGAGTTTAAATATATCATATAAATATGATTGATGGTGATAAATAAATAAATAAAATACAGGTAATTAATCATTTATTCTATAAAAAATCAAATTGTAAAAGTTGATAATCGGAAGGCAAAAATTGATGCTAAAAGGATACCAAATCAATGTATATTGAAAGGATGTTGAATTTTAATTAACAAGTCTATAAAAAATCACACAAAAATGACCAACCATCGAGAAAAAAATATTTTGAGAAAATAATAAATAATAAAAGCATAAAAAAATATATATAAAAAAAAAAATTAGGTCGTAGAGCGTGCCAAGCCCATGCGCAAGGGCTTGGAGAGAACTAGGTCAAAACATATTTCTATGATAGAGCGTCGGTTTTGCCCTTCCAAACTTAATTTCTATACAATTCTCATCTCCAAACATCATAAAATCATCTCAAGAACATCTACAATCATTTTTTAATCTCAAAACATATTTTAATCAATCCTAAAAAAAAAATTAATTCTCTCTCCCTCTCAACCGTCTAGGAAGCTATTTTTCCATAGTAAAGTTTAGGGACTATCCCAGACAAATCAAGGATCAAAATAAATTCATATTTGTGAAAAACCAAACATCAAACATTAAGATAAACTAATATTTTCAAAACCCATATTGTTTTAGGTTATTTGGAATAATATGTAAATCAAATGATAGTCAATTTTGGATACTAGTGCATGTTTATGGTTTAAGTGTATTTTTGTACGCACAGTGCTAGCAAAAATTGAGGGTTGTATGTTATTAAAAAGCATTTAGATGGTTGGATGGCTATGATTCCACTAGAAAAATTAGCCTTGCAATAACTTGCTGCTGCACGCAGACTTCACTTGCAGGAAAGAGGTTGGTTACTTGAAGTTGGATGCTAGTAGCCCCTTGAGAACTGTAGTCCTCAGAGGAAATGATAAGAGAGTGAATTTTCTCCCGGCTTGCGTTAATAATCAGAAAACTATATCATTGGCCACATACCCAGATTAAGTTAAACATAAAAGAAAAACATTGACTCACACCAGTTAATCGTCAAAACAAAACATCTAGATCTCACTCAAGTGGAGTCGCCAAATCCCATAAAATAGCCCAGTTTAGAAAAGAATTGTACTCTGTTCAAGCAGTCTAGGCAACAACAGGGAAAATTCATAAAGGCAATTTCAGAACATTGTTTTCAAAGGCGGCTAATGACTTCCTCCACCTCAGCAGGGGTGTATAAATGGTAAGTAGGTGCCACCTTGGCAATGTCGACGTTGTTGGGAGTCACCTGAAATCATTAGCATCAACCAGTTATTGGTAATTAAATGTAACATACAATACAATGAAACAGTTCAATTGATTAAACTTAAAAACTGAAAACGGACAGAGAAAGTCCTGCATGCATAAATACACAAAAATGTCACGTTATACTACGCAGAATAAAGCTTTTTACCTTTTCTTCCATTACTTGCTTTAGAATAGAAAGAGCGATTGTCTCAGCTTCTTTAAGAGTCAGGTCCTGCACATGATTACCAAAGTCAATCTCTGTGCCAATTTCTAATCTAAAGTAAAAGACACGATAAGGAAAATCATGAAGGATAATGAACTTGTTTCATTAGCAAGGATGGCAACTTATTATTATTTGGGCACCTCAGATACAGAGGTTGAAAAGATACAACCATTCAGCCGCCTTGTCATTCAAAGTCGGTTACTCATTATATTACCAAGTCATTCAGTGTTCTTGGTGAGGGGCGCAAATACATGTCTAAGCAGTAATACCTTGTTATATTGCTCCTGCAGAGTGCTGTCTGCACCTTCTGAACCTGAACCAATAGCCTTTGCATTGCACTGCCAAAATGTGCCAGATGGATCTGTGTAATACCTGCACAATGAAAGTTTCTTGTTTAGGCCAAAGAGCAGCGACAACACCAGTATATATTGTTCAGTTAATGTAACATATTTTGCAGCTAAAGAAGCATGGAGGACTGGCAATCATACATGGTAAGACATCAGTTCAACTAAATGAAATAGAGATGATGTCCATAGGCAGAGAGAGAAAGAAAGTAATCGGAAAGCGATTATGGGGATTTTATGGGTGGTTGACTTGCTATACATTTGAAAACAGCAGTCTTCATGGTCCAAGACTCTTACTTTGGGCCAAAGAGTAAGGTCCAACAAGATGTTTTAAATAGAAGAGGAAAAAATGATGCCTATGAAAAACTGCAACCAGTCCATTACTCACTGTTTATGTGTCAATAAGAAAGTGTCCAAAACCAAATGAAAAACTAATTTACAGCCACCAGTCCAGTACTCACATGTGTCAATAAGAAAGTGTCCAAAACCAAATGAAAAACTAATTTACAGTCATTGTAACATGTGGCAATGTAATTATTTTGTAGCAAACTAACAAAAAAAAAGAAAAAAAAAGAAAACAAATTTGCAATACTTACAAGCTGGGTCCATGCTCGTCGTGACCAGCAATGAGAAGAGACACCCCAAATGGCCGAGACTGCAAAGGAGAAAGATCTTCATAAATAAAAAAACGTAGAAAAAAACCATATAATATTGATATTTCCAGGTTCAGCCTCATAGATGACAGTATGAAAAATTGTTTCGAAAACATTCGTTTGCACATAAAAGCAGCAAAACAAAAACTTGCCTTTTCTATCTTCCCAACACACAGGAGGATCTGGCACAATGTAAGCATTTTCAAGATACACGACTTGAAGATAAATAGATGGACCATAGCTGATTAACAAAACATGTTGATCACACATTTCTGGTATTTGGCAATAAGGAATGGTTAACATATATTCCAACATGGTATACCTACTGGAGGGCATGAGTATCAAAATTGGATCTAAAAGACAAATACAGGAAACTGATATTCATTAATAATCCGCATACATCATTGGCAGCAAATGAAAAGGATTTTAAACATCCTTACTTAATAGGGGCACATCATAATGAATAAAAACAGCTGAAGTTTAGGAGATGACAGTAAAACGGATATCATAAATGAAGAGTTCAGAACTCATATAAACAACTTATTAAAAGGTAAACAAATATTACCATGGATTCTTCATCACCTTCACCAAATCGCAGGGCCAAATCACAGAGTGCTTGTGTTGTAGACTCAACTGTCATAGGCTCACCATATGAGAATCTATGGTTCTGCAGAATAAATTAAGACAAAAAAATTCAGTGGAGGAGCTATTTGACCATGCCTCATCAGAGCAGCAACAATAGCAATTGACAACAAGACCTGAGTTTCGACCCGTGCATGCTCAACAAGTGTACGAGCATCGGCAATCAATCCACTCATAGCACATCCAATATGTTCATCAATTTCCATGACTTTCTCCACACTACTTGGCTCCTGAAAAATAAATTAAAACAAAATGATGACTGAAACAAAGCTATAATCATTTATATTTCAAACATTACCAAATGTGACCAGAAAACAAATTCTACAACTAAGTTATAGAGTACTTCCAACACAACCAAGACAAACATATTACATAAAAATGGTAGGACTGCAGGACAAGTCTTCTGAATATGACACATCAATCAGATTTTAGGATTGCTGCAGATAAATCATGGACTATGGAAAAAGTTCAAGAGCTTATGAATCATAATGGAGATAACTATTTAATTTAGAAAGCTCTTCAGAAATCAGAAGCCCAATACGAAGAACTACCACTTCATTGAACCTACTAGAAAGAACAGATCCACTGGTCTCATTTCATAGTAGCCCAATATGTAACTATGTATAGTGGAAATTCAAAATATTACATCCTTATAAAAACCAAAGGAAATCATCAAACTGGCCTATCAAGGGGATCCATTCTTAGGTTTATCAAGTCAAAGGTGAATTAAACATGTAATATCATAAAAATATAAAGTGGATGCAAGGAGAAAGAGACAAACCAGCAGAGGTGAAGTGATACGCTTCTCAACTGCAAGCACAACCCCTTCTTTCGTCTTTAAACCAATTGCAGTTGAACCAAGCTGTAATCGAAATAACACAGAACTTTATTTTCAATCATGCAAACACCAGCTCAACCACATTAAGACCACATAGAGAGAAGATTGAAAGGGAGGGGAGAAGAGGGAAAATAAAGGCATCGTTGTGAATTGGAAGTTTGGGACAGAAAATCAAATAATCAAGATAACAAACAATTTCCAAAAATTCTACAATTTTGCAGGATTCTTGGAAAGGAGAACTGAAAATTTCTGCATTGCCATGGTTCATAGTACATATTTAATTAATGGTACATACTGGGAGAGGATAATAAAGCATCAACATGGCAATTCCTCAAACAATCATATTATTAGACTAAAAAGTTTGTATAATTAAAAACCCCGAGACTTTCTTAGGTAATCAGAAATCTCAAAGCTTTCAAACGAAAATACAACGAAAAAAGAGAGAGAAACAGTTCTCCTAGTTCTTATAAGGACATGAATACAATAAACCAATCACATTTTTATCTCATTTAGATGGATTATATGGAATTATAATGAAACCACTCAATGCATTTAAAAGCAATTGCTAGAGCTAATTAGTTTCAAAAGGAGAACAACAAGCAAGATTTCCTATAGAACACATAGTTAGCTATCGACATCTACTTCTAGGACTTATTTAGTACCCATAAGCAATAAGAATACAGTTGAAAAAAGAAAAACCATCAAGTACATTCTAGCGCTCCTAGCACTTGGTCTCTTCATTATTATCGTATAAAGAAAAACCCAAAAACTTGCTACATACTATGGTTTTAAAAATAACATCACATAACCACTGCCAAATATCGTGGTAAAAACTTAAAATCTATAAGCTAACGCAGTTAACAAGACTAATTCTTCAAAACCCAATTGAAAATCCCCAAAATAATCCTTTCATAGCTAAATGAGATGCCCAAGATTGAACATTCAGTAATGGGCCTCGACTTAGAACTTTTTAATGGAAACATAAAAGGTGTTTGAGGAAGGGTTTTAAATGGTTACCTTGATGGCTTCAATAGCATATTCAACCTGAAACAATCTTCCTTCTGGAGAGAAAGTGTTCACTCCTCTATCATACTCCGTCCTTTATCGAAATTTGAAAACAAAAACACAAATCGTCAAAATAATAAAAATAAAAAGAAGGAAACTTTGATGAAAGGGAACTAATAGTGGAGCTTATTCATTACCTTGTGAGAAACATCTTTGATTGGATCTAAATTGCTTAACAATTACTTGTGCTCGAGAGAGATAGACTTTTGTTTGCTTTGCTTCAGTGCGTGCTTTTGTAGGTAGTCAGATGTGTTGAGCTCTCTCGACTTGTTTAACAAGACAAGAAGTTCGAAGCGTTTGATTCGTTTTTTCCAGAGCTGTACTTTTGGGCTGAATCAAACGGAGTGTTTTGGATTGCCTGTCTGTAACTAATGGGCTTGTTATTAGGCCAGTCAAAAAAACCCAGCAGATCCAATTCACTTCTCTTTTTTCTTTTCAAGATGATATATATTTTGCATCCTGTATTTTTATGATAAGGAGTATTCAAGAAAATTTCAAAATTTTTACTTATTTTATTGTCACTTGTATATATACAGACACATTTACTATCATATTTCTTTAATACCAAACACAAGTTTTATATATTTTTTTTATAAATTTTATTTTATTATTCAATTTAGTAAAAAAAAATTTATATGAATTCATATCTTTTTTTCTTTTTTCAACTACCAATAGTGTTTTTAATTCATAATTATATTTTGATTTTCTCATCAATTAAATTTATATGCGCTTTTTTAGTTCTGTTAAAATAGACTTTAAATTCATATTTAAAATTTTTGTGATGAATAATGAATTAATTTTTTAGTATTATCTATGAAATTAACGTGTTGGAGTATTTTTTTAATTATTATTATTTAGACGAGAATTCATTAAATGAGAAAGGCATAATGCTAATACAAGGCCCATCCTTAATAAGTGGGTATTTAATTCGTAAACCTAGAAAGAATCAACAGCCTAAAGATTAGTCCATATTCATTAAGGAAACAATAATCAAGTTTCCAGGCTCTACAAGAAAATAATGAAGTACAAGATAAATAACTATATATTCATTAATTACCAATAGTATTATCATGTTAGATACAACATTATAAAATTATTTTTAAAACATCTTCCAACAAATTAAATACAATAATACAAATTAATTTTTAAAACATCATCCAACAAATTTAAGTTTTTGAATTGATATGAATTTTTTAAAATATAATATAAAGTTTTGATCACCCACAGTCCGACACCATACATTAACCTCTAACGAGGTGCCATCTTCACCAACAATCGAAGGTTATAAAACTTAAAAGTCTGCCTCTTCCTCTTATGATAATCGACTCAAAATTAAGCCAATTTAGGGAACAGCTCTGGCCTCCGGGTGCCTAGCTAGCTGCAACCACCATGGTACAAAGCTTGTATGGTCGCTTTCAGTACTCTAAATTGAAGCCAACAAGGCAAATAAGACACTCGGTGGGTACGTGGCTTAGCCTAATTGTGTTTGTACTTTTAAGAGCACACTGATGTTGCGCAAGCCACAAAAAACCATATCTGTACTTGGCAGCAATACCAAAAACAAGACACTGTGCCTAAAAAGAGTAAAGTAGGACTGCAACTTCATAAATAGACGCATTGCAAGACAAACAAAAACGTTTGCTTACTTTGCTAATATATTTCAGTTATCTAACTGAAGTGCTTTTTGATAAACCTACCTACATGGGAATCCCAAATCTTAACATAGGGACAAAGGAATCATAATGCTTGGTTTTCAGAATAATGCGATATAAATATTGGTTATGATTTTTATCAATATTCCTGCATGCCCATTGCTTTCTAAGGAGAAAGGCGATCAAGGGTTTGTAATTTGCATTCTAGCTAGCTTGATTGGTACTAATCAGGAGGAAATTATACATGCAAGTTCTCCAAATTAATTAAGAGATGTCTAGCAATTCAGGCCTAGTCACTCCTTCAAGCTTGATTACTGCTAGGTATATCAAGTGGCCCTCTATTAATTGTCAGGTAAGTGCCAACCTCTATGTAATCAATAAACAAGCTGGTTTATAACTTGTGAGGAAAAGCAGCTAACACCAAGATAGGCCAAATTTCAGCAGATTTCGATCGGGACTACCATGCATGTGACGATAGATAGTTACGTATTCAGCTATAGATGCCACGAAACAATGGCACCGATCTAAGTACAATACCAAAAAAATAAAAAATTCCTACAAATAATTAACTGGGCTATGGTTCCTATTCTCGGCAACGGCTTAATTTTAGGGCAGTAGCACTTTTTTATCTGTTTTTGTTGTGCTAAAAAATTCAAAACAGCATTAATGCGAGTTGGTTTATTCAATAAAATCTCTCTCCAATTTCCAATTCCATAAAGATTGGGAGGGGTTTTTTTTTTTTTTTTCCTTCTTCCTTCCTGTAAGCGGTCTTGTTCTCCTATCTCTCTCATTTTAATTAGTTTATTTATATGTTTGATTCATTAATAAATCTTTCCTCATCATTTTTTTTTTCATTTTTGCTTGCATTCGTTAATCTTCTACTAGATTCTTGGAAACTTACTGATCGGAAAAAATAAATTTGTTTACTGTGACAGATATATATTCTATCGTGTTACCTAAAATTACATGTAATATGTTATCAGTGATGAGTTTTTGCGTGCATTTGTTGTTTCTGATTAATTCTTGAAAAATGTTATCCTTTTTTCATTTTTACATGCATTTGTTAGTTTCAGATTGATTCTTGAAAACTTATTGATTGAAAAAAAGAATTTGTTTAATGTGGCAGGTATACATTTGGTTGTGTTACCCTAAATTAAAACAATATTTTATCGGTGATGAGCTTGGATGATACATATCATTCGGATATCTTTAAGAAGACCTCACATGAAAGAAAGACCTCTCATCAAAATCAACAATCGACTAAAGGCTGGTTAGTACCTCAACGGAACATTACAACTCCGTTATCCTAAACGCCTGCTCCATACTTTTCATCTACCGTCGTGGCAAAAAAAGATATGCATTTAATGAAATATTCTTTTAAGATTGTATTTGTCTAATCAATACCAACTAAGATGGTATTGGCATTGTCAGAAAATAAATTATCCTAAAAAAGAACGTAAATCTCCTGTATAGGCGTTAGAAATTATCCACAACGCTAGAGATACGATGGCATGTGAATTGCAAAAGAATCTGAAAAATTAACACACCCTTGTTCGAGAGAGGCTGCAAAAACGTTCAGCTTCCTGCCTTTAATTAGACGACTCCAATATGTTCCCTATATTCTACCAGGACTAGGCGGTTAATCCAGTGGACCTGTGACCCAAGACCTTGGATAGGTCAGGCTCCGGGGTCCGGACTGAACAACTATGGTTTCAATAGAATAATAATAGTTGGTGATTGTTTGTTGGCCGCCTTGTCTGATATGACTTAACATGTAGTAATTTGACTTGATTGAGTTAGTGGATTCTTTGGATGTCAGCTTGCAAAAAATGCATCCTGATAGATTTCCTTACAGAACTGAAGATACACCCATCTTTTGTTTATGTTTCAATGATTATTGCTGCAAGGTAGGCAACCACAAGAAATGCGACCAGAAAATTGGATGTTATGTCTGTTTACGATCATCTTCTGTGCTTGTTCACTAGCCCTTTGAATCTGCTCGGTGTGTTGGTGGCCAGCTGCTGCTCTCCATTCTTCAGCTTTTCTGTGCACAACTGCCATCCTCTTCATCAATTTCTCTTCTAGATTTGATCTCATTTTTTGTATTTTCACCTGGAAGATTTATTTTGATAAGAAAGAGTTTCCATTATAGACTACACCATTGACAGAAACAAGCCATTGTTGGTCCACTACCGAAACAAAAGAATGCACAACCCCAAAACTAGCAAGGTGGCAAGCAAAAATACATAGAAAATTAAAGAGATTTCTCATTGGAATTACATTTTGTTATATTTTATCCATTTGGAAATTAGTGGTCCTCTGTGTGCTCCACCTCCTATACATTTTGTACTAAAATTTGATACACATTGCAAGTGTGAACGCATGGCACGAAAAGTAGAGCAACAAAGAGAGCTGCCTTCGTTAATTGTGTACTTAACATTATTTTATTGATATGAACTAAAAACTACGCCTTCCAAGCATAAGGCAGCATGAGTTCAAGTGAATATTCCTGTTCTCTACAAACTTCTAAACGATAGATATCCACATGGGATAACAAATTACAACAAAGACTACAGAATTATTTATAAAAGCAATGATGACTTCTAGCTTTCTTCTTACTTGTTTAATCCTGAAGCACGTAATTAAGAATTTACTGAACTGAAGAAGACACCCTAAAAGAGGTGGACCAGTCAAGAAAACAAAAAGAAGAATGGTGTCAAAGAGCTGTGAGGGGCTCGAGGAGATGAAGCCAAAAATAAGTACGACAAAACCCCCCAACTATAGTCAACATTGTAAATCCATTTTATAGATATGAACAAGCATGAATAGATAAACTTGGATCATCTTTATATACTTTCTTAATGCAAACAACTTAGATGATCTTTACTTGGTTTCTAATACCAAAACACAACTCCTTCACATGGTTTGCATCATCCCAACTATGAGGAGTTCAATAACTTGGTAACAATAATAAGAAGATGATTATGATTACCATTGCTATTAGCAACAGAATGGAGTTGATAAAACAAAGGAGAGGACTATTGCAAACAAAAGTACTTAGATTTTATATTCTCATGTTTGATTGGGTTGTGCTTGGTCATTCATCAAAACGACAGAACACAGACAACTAAAATGAGTTGATAAAATAAAACAGATGAGGAATGTACCTCAAGCTTTCTTGATTGAGCTTCTGCTTTTGCTTTTTCAAGGTTAACCCAAGCTTGAATTTTCGCTTCCTCTCTCTGATACCTGCAACTCAAATTAAATTTTGATAACTCGCTAAAGAAAACCAATCATGCCTCTAAAAGCTTCAAAATTTATGCACTCATATTACCTAAGACAGCACTTTGTCTTTTCCTCTTCTTCCCACGCTGCAGCTCTTGAATCTGAAACACTTTTCTGAGACACAATGCCTGTTTCAAAATGTCTTAGGCTTTTTGATATTTCCTCTTCTTCCTCTTCCCTTGAGCTCCAATATGATGTAACAGAATCATATTGTGTCCCAAGCTGCAGCTTAGCCAAATGGCATTCTTGCAGCTGGGAAATGTCAATGGTATTATTGCCACTGCCCGAGTTCTCCAAGGCCAATGGGCCTGACCTATTGGCAGGTGTGTTATGGCGAGCAGGTGATGAACTCTTGAATGGTGTGTGGCACCTAGAAGTCGTGGAACTGCCAAGTGGAGTCATCTCTGTTCCAACATCTCTGTGTTTCACCTCATGAATTACTTCAGTGCCAGCATCTTTCTTGCTTTCATTGGCTGAGTTTCTAAAGAGAAACCCTTCTTTCAATGGTTCTGAATATCTAAAATTCGGTAAAACCGGCTCTACCTCACTTGTGAACTTATCTACAATCATTAACAAGCTTTAAATAAGTACTCATTCAATTTGTTCAAGATAAATCATAGCAAGTGCACCTTCAATGAGAAAGGCATTCTAAGCGAAACTGAAGATATAGCGCAATGTCTATATACCTATTAATTGGAATTGTTCTGCAGACTTCATAAAGCTACATTATAGCATGGGCTAGGTAAAGTGCTACTATTTAGAAAGAATCAACTCACTCTTTTGGTTGCAGAGTAAAGGTGCAAAAACAAAAGCAACTAAAATCTGCATCATTTCCCCCCAGCATTTAGCCAGCTAAAAATTGACCCATCTGAAACTTAAACAACAATTTGCATATAATTTCACAGTTAACATTCTGTTACTTTCCTCATTGTTTCAGCAATTTAAGTCTTAAGTTAAAATACATCGTCCATGTTGCTTGCTGCATAATCTGCCGCAACAAAAACCCATCCGGTTTTCATTTCCTACTTCCCATACAAAAGCACAATCAAACAGCACAGTGTAAGGTAGAAGTGGACCACAAAATTAAACAGTGGAGAAAAAGGTTTAAGGATCTTTTGAGCTTTTAAAAGACAAAAGAGAAAACGATATCATTTGGATAATAGCGGAGCCAAAAAGGAACAACGAGAAGTAAGAGCCAAATGGGTCGTCAGGGTTACATTAAAGCAGAAATGAAGATAAATGCTACCTTTTAGAAGAACATCCGCAGAAAGCCCATTAAAAGCTGTAGCTGAGTTATGTTGGTCCAAAGCCACCGACCCTTGAAAGCTGGCAATAACTTTTGATACTTTTTCCTCCGTGACCCTTGATTTCTCCGCATATACCTCTATTTCCTGCTTAAAACTATCACATTGTTTGTGAATCTTTGAAGACTCTGGTGATGGCTTTATGACATGAGCAGGAGACTCGTGGCAAGAACTGTTCATCACCCACTTCTCTGCATCATCCCACTTGGATGGAAAGCTCTTTTTGCAAGATTACCAACACTGAAGCTAAATACAGGCCTACCAGGAGTAGGAGGAGCTTCTACTCTTCTATGTGTGACTGAGTTCGCTCCCTCTATTCTCCTTTGAGCTGACACTTCAAGAAATCCTCTGCATTCGGTGCTGCTATTTGCCATTGGAAATGATTTGACAAACTCAGATGTCTCCTTGAGATTAAGCTTGCACAGTGGGTCTTGAAATGAGTCCGCAAATGGATTTTCCTTGCCCTTCCCATAGAAGCTTGTGTTGGTCTTGGTCTCCAATGCTGGTTCCTATAATAAAAAACACACCCCAACAACACAGCCAGACGATAAACCAACATCTTATCAGTACTGAAAATTTCAAAACCTAAACAAGACTTAAAAAAGACAATAAAAGAAAAACAAATTTACTAAATGAGTTATTTTACCCCATTAGAAGCAAAAACAGGGGGAGGTTGAAAGTATTTTGGAGCAGTGAGATCCATGGCTGTGAGGAGGGGTCACTTCACTATTCTTGATATAAAACAAGCAGAGGAATCTGCTGGACTACTCTCTCTGGTGCTATACCTTTGTACTAGAGACTAATGAGAGTGGGTTTGGTTTTGGGCATGTGCCTCATTTTGATGTAAAACACAAGTGATGATGGAAAGTGAGAGAGGAAGCAGTTGAACAGTATAGCTGAAGAGGGAAACAGCATTGACTAGCAAGAATCATGGTCTAGGAAGGGTTTACTGTTACACTCAATGACCCCACATGTGAAACAGCTAGGACAGTAATGCTACCTAGAATAATCTTCCAAAAAAGAAAAAAAGAACAAAGAAATGAGACCGCGAGGGTTACAGTTGCATTACATGCATGTGTAGCTAGCTCAAACTCTATATAAAGTGGGGAAGGAGACGAAATAGTACTTCATGGAAAGGAGTGTTGGGAGCTTTGAACTATACATCTTTTGTTGGTTTTTGGATTTGTTCAGTTTTTTTTATCTCTCTGTTACTGATACTCTGTAACCGTGTTTTCTCCCCGGTTCCACGCCAGAAAAAAGATTTTAAATACCCTTTTCTTTTCTTTTCTTTTCTTTTCTTTGTTTGTGAATATGGCCTAAACCATACAAGCATATTGCCTAGAACAGTATGCCCCAAAAGGCACTGATAACAAGGATGGCCCAAATATAGAAATCAAGCCCAAAGAAGATATGAGCCAGGGCCTAGTGATTGATATTTTAATATCCTTGAAAAGTTCTCTTCTTCTTCTTCTTCTTCTTTTGGGTAGAATTGAATTCTTTTTAAGTTTGTCGCAGTAAGGACATCTTCACTTCAATTTTTATACATATAACTAAATTTTTTTTAATATAAAGTAAAATTTAAATAATATATCTATTTTCGGATTGGTGCATTTTTTTAAATATTAGGACTCTTTTTTAAAATTCAAATTCAAAATTAATAAAAATATGAAAAAGCACACTCATTTATCAACTTAGACTAAGCTTTCAAGAATGTTTGTCATAAAAGATGGTTGAAGTTCATGTTGTGTCTTGAATAGGTTGTTTTTTTTTTTGTTTCCTTGGTTTTTTGAGGAATTAATTAGTTATTTTATTGGCAACTAACCTGCGGTCAGCGGTGAAATATGAATTATGTGCATGAATGTAAAATAACTATTTTATTGCCATATATACAATGAAATCCAATGGGTCTGAAACTGCTACAAACCCCAAAGACAAGTCAATAGTGACACCAAAAAGTTGGATTCTGAGGGGCAGGCCATGTATGTTTGTGTGCTGACACGTGTTCTCTTACCTTCGAGATCAATGCTCAAGGACAAGTGACTTCAGGAGTCAGGACGCAATCTTCTACTGAAGCATCATGAATGATCTTATTCACGTAGAACAGTTGAGAAATTTTTTAACAGTCTGTTCAGGTAAAATTACTTACAAAAAGAAGAAGGGAAGAGAAGGGATTGGAAGGCAGAGCATGAAAACAATTTCATCCAAATATCTAATAAGTGTTATCCTTATTTGGAGATGAGAACATAATGAATGTCAAATATCCTTTTGGTTAGAGGAGGGAGGATGGGGGTCAATAAAGGTAAAAGGTTTCATTTGTTGAAAAGGATAAAATGGAGTTTCTAAAAAAGAATAAGGATAAAACAAAATATTATTATTTTTTCAAATACGATAAAATATCATTAATTTGCTTGTTTCATTCAGACAGTTCCTTCGTGAATAATGATTGAACTTGCTAAGGCTAACAGGGGCTTTATTTACTGCAAAACTTCACTACTCCCTTCCGTCATCATCAATCAATAGTTAGGTTTCACATTCTAGTCATCGTTCTGTTTTAGCAAATAACTAATTTTTTTATCTACGTTATGCTACGAATAAAATAAAAAATAAAAAATTATTTTAGTTTAATAATTTATTTTATAATGTAAATGTATAAAAATATATGAAATCAAATATGAAAAAATATTTTAAATTTTTTAATGTAATTTAAAATTAAATGGATGAGAATTTTTTTAAAATAAAAAATTAAAGAAGTAAATTTAAAATAATAAAAATAATCAACAAAAAAATTCATTTAAAAAGTAAAAAAAAAATTATTGTATAAATTATAATGATATATTTAAAAAATAAAACTCGACGTTCTAAAATTTTATTTCAAAATTTATATCTTAAAAAAATAAAATTATTAACATATCAAATTAAATCAAAAAATTATTTTTATGTGAATTTTAATAAGAAATAAATAATTAAAAATTAAATTTAAAAAATAAAAATAAGATATATATATATATACACGAAAAACTAAAAAAATAACGATTTATTTTTTATATTTTTCATTTTTTTTGTTTGGTAGACTTTTTTTCTTAACTCGTTTTTTTCTTCTTCTTTTAATATATATATATATATATATATATATAGAGAGAGAGAGAGAGAGAGAGAGAGAGAGAGAGAGAGAGGGGCGTTTGGTTGGCTTGTGCAACCGGATTACACATGTTAAAAAAAAAAAGAGTCGGGGAGGCAAAGCGTGGCCGGCCTTTGTAGGGAGGCCCGCGCGCCAAGCTTGCCTCGTCCAAAAAAAGAACAAACTCGCAACTTTCGACGAACCCGAGGTTGTCGGAAGTTCGAGGGTCAACTTTCGGATCCTTAAAAATTGAATTTCGGTATCATTTTTTCCCCCAAACAACTCGAATGATTGGAATAAAGCTAATAAACACATTTAAAACCTTAAAAATCATTTTAATACACACAAAAATAAAGAAAAATACAAAATCAAATTGGATTTTTTTTTCTTTTTTGGCTTCGATCTACCTCCTATCATTATTTAATGGCTTGAAATCACCATGAACAAACTCATCTCTTAAAGGATAAAAAAAATTAGTGAATTTTCGCCAACCAGAGTGGCTTAAATAAGCTTGGTCGATGATCTCTCTCTCTTCCTCTCAGCCTTCTTTCTCCACCCAAGGACCAAAATGGATGATCAAATGAATATATGGATCGAAATATACATTCAAAAATATCGAGGACCAAAGTGTAAAAAAAGTTATGAATAGTGAAAGTAACGATGAACTGTGAGAGAGTGAATAATGAAATGTGAGTGTGAGCAAAGTATTTCAAATAGTGTAGCTATAATAAAATTGTGTTTTTCTTTAATTTATTAGTTAATGTAAGTCATTTACTCGGTGTGAGAGATTGGTTTGATCTCTAGCATTTCGAGTTACAACATTTGTCTTCCGAAAAACTAAAAATCATTCATCAATATTGTAATGAGATTCATTATGTTTCTCAATCAAATAAAGTTTCATGTCTTGCTTGCCCTATGGTTAAGCACAAATGTCTTACATTTTTTGTTTATATACAAAGTACTACTTTTTCATTTCAGTTGATTCATACCGACATCCGGGGACCTTATTCACAATCTTCGCATGGAAAATTTTAATATTTTTTAACTATTGTTGATGATTTTACTCGTATGACTTGGGTATTTCTAATGAAAAATAAGTCGGATGTTGGTTCCATTATCCCTAATTTCTTTAATCTGATTTGGTTTTGATTTTAAGTAAATTAGGTCAAATAATGGTCTAGAATTTAGATTAGTTCAATTCTATTCGAAAAAGGAGTTTTCCATTAGTTATTTTGTATTGAAACATGTTAACAAAATGGTATTATTGAGAGGAAACATCAACATTTGCTTTTTATTGCTAGGGCTTTACTTTTTAAATCACTCTTACCTATCTCTTTCGGGGAGATACGATTCGATCGTAACTCATTTAATCAATCGAACGTCATCTCTCGTTTTATAAAATAGAACACTTATGAGTGAGCATTTAAAAGTTTTTGGATGTCTTTGTTTTGCTTCTACTCTCATTCATGGTAAGAAAAAGTTTGAATCTAGATCCAAACAATGCATATTCATTGGTTATCCTAATTGTATAAAAGGCTACAAACTATATGATCCGGCTTCTAATTCTATTTTTATATCCAGAGATGTTGATTTTCATGAATGTGTTTTTCCTTTTTCCGTTAAAACTAGTTCTTTACCATATAGCTCTTTTGATGTTTATTCTTTTATTTCATGTTCGAATCTTCCTTAGATCAACTAGTTACTTCTCTTTCTTTTGATTTTCATAACCTTCATTCCGTTGTCCAGGATTATACATTACCTCCTTCTTCACCAATTAATACTGCAGAACCAGTATCTTATTTCGATCCTCCTAATATTTCCTTTGGTCCGTATCAATTCCTCCTTCATCAATTCCTAACTCCACCCTAGATATTCTTGCTAAGAAAAGCGAGTAGAGTCGGAAAACCTCCTTATTTATTAGATTACCATACCAATCTTGCTACTATCCTTGACTCACAATCTCCGACTTTTTCCACTATGTATCATATACACTATTATATCTTTTTAGTAAGACTATCTCCCACTCATAAAGCTTTTATTTCAACATTTTTTCATCTTGATGAACCACATATCTTTCACCAAGTCGTTCAATTTGCTCATTAGAGAGATGCTATGAAAGCTAAACTTGATGCCCTTGAGTTGAATAACACCTAAACCGTTGTTTCTCTCCCACCTAGTCATTATAACGTAAGTTGTAAATGGGTTTACAAAGTTAAGATTCATGTAGATGGTTCTATAGATAAACATAAAGCCGGATTAGTGGCTAAAGGCTATAGTCAACGAGTCCGTTATGACTTCTAAGGGACTTTTAGTCCAAGTGGTTAAGCAAACTACAATTCAAGTCTTTCTTGTTTTGGCAGCATCTCAAGGCTAGTCATTGTCATAAACGAATGTCAATAATGCATTCCTTAATGGTGCTTTGGAGGAGACAATTTATACGGATATTCCTTTGGGTTATCGAGTTAAGAGGGAGTATACACAACTTGTATGTCGGCTTCGTAAGTCTTTATATGGTTTGAAATAACCATCAAGGCGAGTGAAACTCAAAATTAACTCAAGTTTTGTTATCTTTTGGTTTCACTCAATCAAAGACAGATTACTCGTTATTCATCAAAAGGGTTTCTATTAATATTTTTCTTACTTCACTTGTCTATGTTGATGACATAGTAATTGCGAGGAATAATGATGTGGTTGTTGCTAAATTCAAATAGTTTTCACATTCCCAATTCAAAATGAAAGATCCGGGAAACTTGAAGTATTTTTTGAGTGTTGAAGTTGCAAGGTCCGACAAAGGGATTGTCCTCTTTCAAAAGAAGTATGTGCTAGATTTATTGACAAAACATGGTCCGATGGTTGCTAAGCCAACCTCAACTCCAATTGATCCCAATCAAACACTCACATAGGAAGACATTAAATCACTTAAGAATTCGATTGTATACGGACAGTTTGTTGGAAAACTGCTCTATTTCAACTTCACTGGACCGGATATTTCATTTGTCACACAGGTTTTATCACAATACATGGACAAACCAACTTAATGGCATTTATAAGCTGCGTTTAGAGTTCTTAGATATTTGAATTAATCTCCTAGTAAAGGTCTAATTTTCTCTTCACAATCTGGTTGCCAACTAATTACATATAGTGACGATGATCGGGCAAGTTATATGGATACTAGGAGATCTCAGTAATCGATTATTCTATTTTTCTTGGTGATTCCTTTGTTAGTTAGAAATCTAAGAAGCAAACTATGATGGCTAGGAGTTCGCGAAGTTGAGTACATGGCAATGGCCACAACTTGTTGTGAAATTGTGTGGTTATTGAGTTTGCTTGCGGGTTTAGGATTTCAACACCAAGAGTCGATCCTTCTCAAATGTGACAATCAATCGGCGATTCACACTAGTCGAATCCCGTGTTTCATGAGAAGACTAAACATATTGAAATAAACTACCATTTTATTAGAGAAAAGATCACTGCAGGAGTTTTGAAGCCGAGTATATTTTTTCAACTAATCAAGTGGCGGACCTTTTACCAAACCTCTTCGACCTTCACAATTTTGGTATCCGAGTAAACAAGATAAGCATGGTTGACATTCATGCTCCTCTTGAGGAAGAGTATTAAAATATGCCACTAAGGATTCGTCGATCGCTACTGGGAAATGCCCTCGCTACCGGTCCGCATAGCTACTGGTAAATTGCCACCGACTTGTATCTCATGCTTCGTTATATTTTGTGTATATAACGATTAGCTTAGCCACGTGGATGCTACTTCATGCATCATTTTGTTATGCAATTAGTTAGACGGTTGCTTGTTGTTTAGAATTAGTTAGACGAGTTAACAAGGTAGGTAGGTAGTTAGTGAGCTAACTCTTTTCTTCTTTATTCGGGTAGTATATATATATATGTACGGTAGGAAAGGAACGAGATTTCAAGCTATATAGAACCACGAGTAAATGGCTTGATTCTCCAACTTTGTAAACATTTTTCAAGCTGTGAAATAAAAGACGTACCTTGATTTTGCTTTCTTTCGGAGAATATCCTTGTTTTTCACCCTTCAATATTCTACTACGTACTTCCCCTCCATCTTTTTTTTTTCAAACAAACACCGTAAGGTATAGTTTTTCAACTTTATGGTTAAATTTTTTTTATATATATTATTTTTTTGTCAAGGATTAATTGAAGTAGTGGTTAATTTCCATTTAAAGACTCTAGCCTTTTTTCTCTCCTTCCTATTGTTCTCTCTTTTTTTTTCTCTAACAATAATTTTTAACCTCCATAGATAATTTTCTCTTTGCGGCAATCCTTCATCTTTCTAATTTTCTTCTTCTTCTTCTTTCTGATCTTGATGTCTCTTTGTAAAATAGTGATAAGTATATATAGTTGATTAGAGATTGATGCACTTTGCTAATTTTAGATGATTGGGATTTTTCATCAATAAAATCTAATAGTACAGCTCGTTTTCTTGTTAATTTATAATGATGATAAACTCAATTGTATGCATGATATATGGGGAAAAAAATATTTTGGACACTCCTAGTTTCATTTAGGTTTTGTTAATATTTACAAAAAGATTATTTATAACCTGAAATATCATTATTTAATATGATTGTAAACAGATTTTGTCTAATTTTTTCAAAATAATAAATTACAATTTTTTTCTTACGGTTTGGTGGCAGTGTTAAAAAAAAAGTCATGTATTTGTTTAATTTATATTATTAATAGAATTACTATCTTTTCAAAAAAAGAATAGAAATCAAGTAGCGGCTAGTTGCCCAACTGGTAAAAAGGGCTACTGTAGTTAGTTGACTAACTGGTAATGATGAAATGGAATGCATTATTCTGTACTGATATTGATGACTGTTACTATTTGTGAGACTTCCGTCCATCTGGCTTCTGGTCGTAGTTTCTTCTTATCATCACCAAAATTCAGTTTGGTTGCGGTTGTAACTGGATAATATGATAAAACTAGGCTGGATTGGATGATAGATGAGATTGAACTAAATTGAAAAAGTATATGTTCTTATCTTGTATGTTGTACACGAACAGGACAAAAGTGCATGAAGTTTGGAAAAAAATCAGTTTAGTCTTTGATAATTTTCAATAATTTATTTTAGTCCTTATTCTTCATTTTCATGACATTTAGTCATTAATAACGAAATTTTGGTCCTCTTTTATGGTATATGTAATTTAGTCCCTTCATCAGATTTTTTTTTGCAATTAAGCCCATATATTTAAATTTTTATTTTAATAAAATGTGCATAAACTTGGACACAATTTAATCAACCAAATTAAAAGAATAAATAAGTAATAATAAAAAAATATAGTATGCAACATTGAGAAATAATGATTTTGTTTATATGGTATTAGATAAATTTGTTCCACCTTCATGGTGGAACATGAATTTTGCCTTACGTACCAAGTATTGTACAGATTGTCCAATCTTATCCAGTGTACCAAATATATTCAGAGTGTTTGTTTTTCTTTCCTCTCACCAATTAGATTAGCAACAGCAACTGTTGGAATCTTGAGGAAGCAGTCCACCGTCCTTGTTAATTACTGGAATAAAATTAAAATCATGTTCTATACTACCATGTATGATTCGTGTTTCCTTAGTCAACCCGTGTTTGGCCTTTAAAATAGAATCCTTGATAGGATAGATGCACATACATGACACATACATACGTACATACGCATGTTTTGTATTTGTATTCCTTAATCAATGTCACATACATTCATGAAATATGTGGAGAGAAATTAACGAAGAAGCTTTGTTGGTAACGCGAAACAATGAATAGACCAACCAACCAATGGACCAGAAACAAGGTAGCATCTCACCCAACTACGAGACAATCTAAGGGTTTACTGTTTCAGGAACAGGTATAAGATAAGCAACATGGGACCCATTTATTACCATATTTTACCTATATATGATGATGCATGCTGACAAGACATAACCTAACAATAATTGAATTTTTATATCCTTTTTCGACCTACAAATACTTGACATTCAAAACAACATTATTATATTCCTACAAAGTTAGCTATAGGCCCTGAAAGAACAAACAAAACTTCTTTTCTCTCATCTTCTTCCTGTTCTTCTGGCCTATGATCAATGGCTGTAACAAGCTTTTCTTCTCCTCACATCCTAGTTCAAAAATCTGGACCTGTTATAAAGCCTGTTAGCAAATTTTTGAAGCCTAAACAGAATGGTCATATTACACTCAAGAAAGCACCTACAGTACTTCTAGTCAGATCCTCCTTAAAAGAGAAGGTATCTCCTGTATTCCTGCACTTATTTCATCTTCTCTTCCATGTTTCTCTTCATTCAAGATATGCTAGACATATGCAATAAAAACAGAAGCGTATTTATGATAATTTTGGAACATTGTTTATCGGTAACTTTCTGGTTAATTTCTAGCAGGTTTTCGAGAATCGAGCTGAGGGCATAGTTTGTTATAGAGATGGCAGTGGGGAGATAATTTGTGAAGGATTCGATGAAGGCCCTCGTTTTCACCAGCAGCTTCCATGCTCATCGTATCATCCAAGGTATGATTGTTCTCACCCAAGTAGCGTATTGTAACTAGCCTCTCTTTGTTGTTTTAGTCCTCTATTGCAACATGTAACATAATACTGTGATACGTATTTAATACATGGAAAGTTTTGCCAATCTTTTGTTGACTTCAGAGATGTTGAGATCATCAATCTTCTTCAACAAAGATTGCTTCAGATTGTCAATGGTGGGGAGTTTAGCAATACTAACAATGGTGTTTTCGCCGGACAAGAGGACTGCAATCGGAATGGCTTTAACAAATTCTGCTGATCAATGACCAATTCTTGTACATTTTATCAAAGTATCTGATAAATAAGTTCCAACAAAACACGGGGGAAGGCTTTTCTTCCGATCACAGAATGTAAATAGTAAGCATAAAGCACTTATCTGTCTTGAAGCATTTCCTTTTTCACCTTTCCTGTCTGCGTGATCAATACTTCAGTTCTTTCTCCCCTTTGGCTTGCACTTTTTCTTCATCGAAATGAATCTGTATGCCCTCACCCCTTTTGACACAAATCAGAGAACAACGGTGACCGCTTTCTTAAACCGATGCTTAATCAGTTGCGAACGCCATAATACCGAACATGATTCTTAGATACACAACTCAACGACGATCTTTTAACGCTTAACATTCAAGTAAATTGCATCTCACGTTCATTAACAAGGCAACTGATTAAAAAAGAGAAGAAAAAAAAATCTCACCATTCCGAAGGATAAGAAAGGGCCTTTGCACAAAATGCTCTGCCAAATAAATCACGACATTCTGATATATTCAGAAGACAAATTATGTTCATTATCCTTCATTACGGAGATTAAATACACACATTTGCTATCCTAGAAATCAAACAATTTGAATATCTTCGAATGTATCATGCATCAGAACATCTACAATAAGATTTGAATAGGCTAGTAACAAGGTAGAATGATGAAATTGTGAATTGGCAGATCATGTTCTGATACAATTACTAACTGGCTGCAATTTTACTCTAATACAGAGTTCATTTGACACTGCAGTTTTACCCAGCATTCAATTTGCCAGACATTTATTGGCTCTATTTCAGCAAAGTAATCCCACAGGTCATATGCCACAATGCAGAAAAGCGGCTTCTCGATTCAGAGATATTAGAACGCCAAACAAGGCTGCAGAGACATTTACTGCCATCAAATTAACTGCTATATGTTGAACGTTTAATTTTCCCCACCTACTTTAAATTTAGTCCTTACAAGTTACAAAGCACTAGGCTACATCAAGTCCTTCCAAGAGAAACAATCAGTTGAGACAAAAAGATCCAAACATGGATCCACGGACCAAAGAACATTGAATATGATTTAGAGGATGAATATCAAAATCAGCACTAAAATACAAGACATAACATTCACTTGAGATACATATACATGTTGCAATGCTAAGTGCTTTTTTTTTTTTTTTTTGGTTTTTTTTACAAAGATTTCAGGGAAGGTCATCCAATATTATACCCCCAACTGAATCTCGTGGCTCTGACAGCCTTGTTCTGCATCTTCTAACAAATAATTATGTGCTTCTCTTCTTAACTAAAGTTACAAAAGTAATTTCTATAAAAGAAAATGAAAGGAAAAATTAAGAATGAGAGAAAAATTGTGGGAGGATTGTCCCAAAATTCAAGTTTAAATGTACAAGAACACAGACCCGGAATATCAGTCAACTGAAGTCGCACCTTGCATGTTCTCTTCGCCAAAATCAGATTGGGATTTACTTGGAATGATAGAGGGAGGGGACCATTGATCTGGGACCATCAGAAAATAGGTAGTCATAGCTTTCCTGAATCTTTTCTTATATTGTTTCGGAGAAATAACAGTTGGCGATGCATTCTTGGGCCCACCAAGTATGCCTGAAGCCTTAACCCATGTTTCCAAATGCTTGTCCCAAGTATACTGCCTCATGAAATCAATTATCCCAAGAACTAACTCGTGATTCTCTTCATCTACCCCAACCAATAATGAGTAATCCATTACATCAATTGACTGCATATTAATAACCATGACAAGTTAAAAATGGACAACAAAGACTTGTTCTGCTTCAAATGCTGAAGAACCAAAGCAACTAGATAGTTTTAATGGAAAAATAATGAAGGAAGGAAAGAAAGAAAGAAACATAGGTTTAGAGCTTACTGCAAGAAAAGAAGTATCATTCCAGACAGCTCTCTCCAGCACCCGCTTTGCCTTGTTTCCCACAAAAATGGGAGAGGTTGGCATTGCTTCAATCAAGTTCTGATCCAGCAGAACCTTGTTGCTCCCACTCGAATCAGGATTATACCGTGAACGGGAAGATCCTTTAAGATCATAAAGGCGGGTCACTTTCCTCCTAAATAGAAGGTTCTCCATAACTAGAACATCCATCTTTGTTTCTTTCCCACCTTTCAGATGCTTCGATGTAACCTTTCAACATAAACAAAAAACAAAGCAATAAGTTTCAGGCAACATATTCAATGCCTTGTATGAAGATGTTCACACAAAATCTCCATCATTAGCTGCAAAACTGACAGGCTAGGATCTTCAAATTTTTCTTACATCTATTTTCATAGAAATAAATGGCAACCAGCATAAAGATTGGGCATCAGATTGTTTGGGCATTTTAAATTTAAAAAATCAAGAGCATTTAAAAACTCGTAAACCTCAACTTGCCCCAGCCAGCAGGCAGAAGAAGAATCTAAGCAGTTACTGGTAGCCAGCTATTCACAAACTTTTGTAGTTATCCATAAGATTACTTATGTATTTTGGCATAAAGTACAGAAGTCAAGATAAAACAACGTTTCAATTGACTACTGGACTTGGCAAGATGTCAGTCAAACCAAATTATTAAAATAATTTAGCCTAGTTTGCATTTGAGGTCTCAAGAACATGCACCTGATAAATTCCCAAAATCTTTGCCAGGCATGTTGGACTTCTTGAGCTAATTGATTCAGACAGATACTTGAAGTAAGCAGGAGCAAATTTTATAAACGACTCCAATTCTGTTTTTGTGACTTGTTTGATTATAAAACGATCGTCCAAGGTTTTTGCAAAGAAGACATTGCTCTTGCCACCTTGAGCTCCCCACTTCTTACAACGGCTAAGAGACCTTATAAAATCAAGTTCAGATGGGCAACATATCCTCCTTAAGGCTTCAAACCGCTTTGCATAGTAGCAAGTCACAGAATATCTTGCCTTACCAAATGGGCCGTCATCTCCGAAAGAAACTCTGGCATGCATAGCCTTTGTGTAGGAAAGTGGGTCCAAAATCAAAGAGCTACGTGATCCAGACATGGACAAGATACTCTCATCTGTTGATCCAAAACTTCTGTAAGAATCAAAGGTTGCTTCATCGAAAGCGTGGAATGACTGAGAAGTCATTGTATCGGATAAACTTAAGAAAGAACTGAAATCTCCAGTGTCTTTTATTCTTTCCCCCTCATCAGTTAGTTGGGCATGATATTCTGGTGATGCTAAAGCATAAGATATAAGACTTGTGGGTTCATCATCATACACAGGAATGACCGTGTCATTCACACCCACAGGCAGAAGCAGCCTAGCACCAGCTTGGAGCTCCAACATCCTAAAGGATGAAATGTAGATAGGGTTATACTCACCCAAAGTACCAAGCTTCTCAGAGCTTGTCAAAAAATTCTTGTTGAACGAACGATAGAAATTCAAGAAGGGCATTCTTAGCCAGCTCATAGAATCTTCCATGTTATCAGGGTCCTTGGCAGTAAATGCAGGTGAAGGTGAATAACACACTTTGGATCCATCTTGGTCTTCGACATGGCCCTCCAAATCTATCCCCTCCAACCCTACAGCTGTGGTTGAAGACTCTTCCATAGCTGAATCAGAAAGTCTACTGTTATCGTCTTTTGATGTCCCACATCCTGGGTGATTCTCACCTGTCCATGCAGCATCAAGGGTATCAGATAGATTTGCCATGATAGGAACCTGTCCGTCAGAAAGGGTCCTAAAAATATTTCCACCAGATTCCTTAATGTCAGATAGATCACAGGCAGACATGGTAGCACAAATATTAGCTTGGCCTTCTTTTCCATGATTAGGACCTTGACACACATCCGTTTCTTGACCAACTGTGTCAGATTGGTTTGTATTGCTACCAAAGCCTCCTTGCTGGTCAGAGCCTTTAAGGAGCTTGGCATCAACAGAAGGAAAGTCGCAGCTACTGAACCTGTTTCCTGGCCTGTGTGCCATGTTTTCCTCAACAAGCTTATCACCATTAGCTGAGCCTAGTAGCTTCTCCTCATGTCCTGAAGTTGAGCTGTTTGAACCATCACGGAAGCTGTTGTCGTCTAAACTGGCTGCATAAATCAGACGGTGGTCCCACATGTAAGACTGGAAGAGTAACTGCCTCCGCAGTCTGTTGATCTCAAGAATGTCAATAACAGGTTGCCCATTTTTCACTTCCCTGTTCAAGACTTTGTGGAGCGACTCCTGAAACAATAGTGAGAGCAATTTAAACTATAAGCATTTTTCTACAACACTTCCACAACAAAATTGTGAGAAGAAAGATTTCTGAGAAATCGTAGAAACCACAAGATGCAACAAATTTGATATTCGTCAACTATATGCACCTTGTTACACACAAAAGAATTGATGGAAATAATCATGAGGAAAAACAAATATCTAAGAGAACTTTGTAGAAGCCAGAAGATGCTTTCCGTAGTTACATAAATGTGAACTTCAAAGGCAGACAAGATAATTCACAAAAATGGAAAAAAGATACGGATATTTAAAACTTTTACAAACACTTTTAAATGACAGTGGATATTGTGTATAGTGAATTATTCTATTCCATAATTGTGATTCTGTTAATAAACGCAAGAAGATTCACATTCTATGATTTGAAAGTACATTTAAGCAAAAGTTCAAGAATCTCTAGCATCACAGAAACGAAAAATATGAGTTGAATGTTTTGCATGTGGCTTGAAAACCATCGAAGATTCAGGTGATAAATTATTAATCATCGAAGTGTTTTTGGGAAAAAAAAAAAAAAAACAAACTTATTGCGCATTGGTTGTTGGGGGGGGGGGGGTTTTGAATGTTAACATAATTGTGATTCTGTTAATGAACAAAAGAAGATTCACATTCTATGATTTGAAAGTACATTTAAGCAAAAGTTTAAGAATCTATAGAATAACGGAAATGAAAAATATAAGTTGAATGTTTTGCATGTGACTTCACAACCATTTAAGATTAAGGTGATAATTTACTAATCATCGAAGTATTTTTGAAAAAAATGCAAAATTACCGTTTTGAACACAATGTTACTTAAGAGTCCCTATTACATGCATAAGTGTCCACCACAGGAATGCTCACCTATGATGCTTGTGTAACTAAAGACTAGAAATCAACATGCACAGAAAGCCAAACCTCAAATTCTGCCTTCTCCTTTTGCAACATCAATTCAAGTTCTGCAATTTGGCGTCTCGATTCAGGTAGTTTCATGCCACTGTTAAGTTGCCCAATCTTACACCGTTTCTCTGATATTTGACTAAGAGCATTGAGTACTTCAGAAAATAGAAGTTCTGCCCGATTGACAACCTGTTATAAGCAGACAATTATATCACCCATATACAGGAGTAAGATGATGAAAATTCCAAAATGGGGATCAGTGCACCTCATCTGTTTCTTTCTGAGTCCATTCTTGATTCTCAAAGCTGAAATCAACTTTTGAGGGAGGAAGGTATACAGAGAGAACATTAATTGATGCATATCGAAAGCAAGCAACCATTTTCCCAAAACTACAAGTGTAAAAGGCAAAGTGAGAGTGAGAGAACTTATATACAAAGTAAATGTCTCGAAAAAGATTTTTCTGGTCCTATAGATTGGCATACATTCAATACTGAATGTACATACGCACACAAGCTTGACAGTCACATAACTTGAAACATTCAGTAAATATATAAGAAGATTGAAGGAAGAGACATTTTAGCAGATATAATCCAACATGATCCTGACTGAAATCTTGGTTCTATAATGTCCATAAAATAATTGTTAGGATTAAATCCTGCAGAAATGCCATGATTGCTATATTTTTACAATATGTAGCAACTGTAGATAATAATGAACTTGAATGATTATTTACAGCATAAAATGATGAAGTGATTAACAAAATTACCCATAGAAACGAAGACAATCCCTATGGAGAGAATGACCACAGCTTGCCACCCTGCTTGCAGCTGCATGATTTGAAAAACTAAGCTCCAAAAATTTCCCAAAAGATAAACCCCAAGCAGCATCTGACATTACTACCCTACGAGTAGCCGGAGGAAAACCATTGATCCGCGGACACCTCAAGCATCTGTGCCACATCCAGATTTTTCCATCCTTTTCACCTGGTAAGAGTATTTCAGGTAGCTTCTTAACAGATATTGTGAGGGTTCCTTGTCTGTGAGTGTAACAATGAACATGTGCTTCTGATGGCATCTCACAAGAACGGCAACTATAACTCTGAGAACAATTAAACTTTGTCAATTTTAAACTGCAACGAACCAAATCTCTTCAAGATATAAAAAATTTAAGAAAAAGAGAATTTACCTGATCAAATAAATGGTCCCGTAAAAACCGACCCAAAGGTTTGTCAAAGCTTCCATAGTACTTGATACGGAAGAGATGGGACCTCTCACAGACTGTCCCCTTCCACACACACCGGGAAGACAAGGAAACCAAAATGCTCTGATGATCTGAAGGTGATGGAGGAAACTCTTCCTTTAAAGGTTCTGGCTCCTCAAGATTCCTTCTAGATTCTTGTTGTGCAGATGATACCTCAGAACTGTGTGGCTGAGTTGCGATTATTTCATTGAAATCATTCTGGGAGGAGTTCATTGCAACACAATCTGAAGACCCAAAGCCATTAACAGTAAGATGATCAATCGCAGCAATTTCAGCCATCAGAGAAGCTCCCGAATCCATTTTGTTTTTCTCATCAAATGTGCGGTAAGAATCTGATACAACTTTCACAGCATAGGGAACAGCAGAAACAAATTCAGTTGAATTGAAGCGAGATGAAGTAGATTCTGAGGATTGAGAGCTGGGACCATCTGCTGCTGGTATATTTTCAACAGAAGAACTGATGATGGTTGAGACCAGACTTGCAGTAGGGGCACTATTGGATCTTTGAGCCTCAATGCTAGATTCCAGTCCTTGAGGTTTTTCATTAGCAGCAATAGTGAAACCAGGTACAGTTGATATGGATCTCTCAATGCTTGATGGTTTATCTGGAAGTGCAACAGTTATTGGAGAGTTCAACGGGAGTTCTGGCAGAGAGGCTCCTTCATCAGCAAGAAAAGATGTCTCCAAAGCTAAGTGATATGCAGCAAAAACACCATATTGGACCACGTGTTTCACTTTCTTCAACTCATCCCCATTAGCACCTCTAAGTAAAATCTGAGAAAATAGATAAATACAACTAAGTAGTGGGCCCAGCAATCAAATTGAAAGTAGCCAGCAAAATCTAAGAACTGATATATCAATGGCATAGCTAGTAGCTACACAATTTGCATAGATGCATGCAGACGGGACCCCCACCCATTCCACAATCCAACCAAGATCATTTCCTGAACAATAACTCTGAAAATGTTTTCAACTACATTACGATGTGTAAAATCACCAGAGTGGATAAAGCATTGGTTGGCCAAAAACAAGGCAATTCAGAAACCTGATTAAGTGTCCATCAAAACTTTTAACCTTGGTAGCTTGTAAAATGATAAATATTCTATTATCATCAACATCTTAAGTTTCAGGGACTTACAGTAAAACCCAATGGTTTTGGGCAGCCTTCAAAATACATTAATGTCTTCACCAGTTTTTTCCCACCATGCCCAGCAGTACCAAGATCTTCCAAAAACCTCTCCACGTGGAACTTTTCACAGTACCCCAACTTAGGGGAAGAGAGATGATCGACTGAAGGGACTATTTGAGCACCTGTACAACGAGCTATACGTTCCAAAAGTGGCCTCTTGATATTAAGAACAAGAGATATGTCTTTAGCAAGAAGATATTCCTGTGCATATCATGAAACTGAATTCTCCACTAAAAGGACATCAGGGTTGTGTGCATCTATCTTTGCCACAGCCATCTTCAAATGGTCCATTTCCTAGGTAATGATACAAAACTCATAAAAACCAAAATGGAAAAAAAAAAAAGGTTCAAGCCAAAAAACACATAACTGCTCTAGCACATTGGGTGCAGTAAGGAAGAAACTAAAGCATAAGGGGTTGAGAAGAGTGTTTAACAATCAGAACCTGCTGTAATAGAGTATCAAAACTTGACAGGTGAGTAGAAACTCGATGGTACTCAAGAGCCCCTCCAAGGATCAATAATCGAGGTTTCTCTATTTTTGAAGTCATTCGACGATGAGCAACATTTTTTTTGCAAACAACTCCTTTGGCCACCATACTAGAAGGAGATAAATCAAAAGCAAAGCAAGTAAAAAAAAAAACTTATAAAAACTGCAAGAAGTGTAGACAAAAATAAATTCACTTTTAAAAGCAAATACCTTTTCTAATGCAGTTATACAAACTTAAAATAATCAAGTTAGTTAGTGTGATATATGAGATAGCTTCACAGCCTTTCACCATCATTTGATTATGCCATGTGAATCGCTAGAAACATGTAAAGTGCCCTAATAATAGATTATCCATGAAGTGAGAAATCCATATTGAGTAGTTTTCTTTAAAAAAGTGGAACAACGTGGCCTATCCATGGGAAACATAAATCAAGGAAGCAATTACCTCTCACAGCGGCGTCCAGAAGCAATGCATTTTACTTTCACATATCCACCAGGGTCCATTCCTCCACCTTTACTCGTATCTGGCTTTAATAGAGTAGCAGCCTCCCATGACAAGGATGTGATGATCTCCAACCAGCTCTCTTTATCATTTTCGTCTCCCACAGGAACATTCTCAACCTGCAAAAGCTGAGATACCAAAGCCCTAAAATGCCCATCAACCACATTCTTCATGACCTTCTTGTGCTCCTCGCTTGACCTATCTCTATTACGAAATTCTCCACTTCCAAAACTGCCAGAGGCCCGTAAATATCCCCACTCACCTGCAGCATCCCTGTCATCATCATCATCCTCAAATAAACCAACTTCCTTCTCATCTTCTTCATCTTCTGGTTCAGGGGGAGCCAGAGCAGTCCATTATTCTCAAAATCCACAGGTTCAGTGTCACCATCTTCTCCAGTATACATAGAGGAAGGTGCTTCACATTCATCATCCATCTCTTGTTCGTCCTTTTTCCTTAGCTGTGGCATTCCTTCTAAACTCTGTGAACCAAAACTGTGGTTCATTGGAGAACTGCTTAAACTTTTTGGGTCAATAGTTTCTCCATCAAGACGAGACTGGTGAGATCTACCGTTGTTACTCATGTCATCAAACTCAACTTGATGATAGTAATCATTGACTTCAGGAAAATGCCTTGTTTCAGAATCGGACCGATATGCACCATACTCATACTCATCGTCATCACTTCTGGTGCCAAAGTACAACCAAGGATTCAATAATTAATAGCTATGCATTGACACCAACAGTTTTTATATAGGAAATATTAATTCCAAATATTACCATGCTTTTAAACAGAGACAAATCTAGGACTCAAGTCTCTGCTGAGAGGATTGATCTTGGCATGCTAAACTTTAAACATAAGCAAAAGATCTTTTTATCTTTGAATGGAAAAATAAATTCTTTTGGCTTGAGGAGCCACTGCATATAAACATATGTCAACAAACCTAGGTTGCTGCCATGGGAGCTAAGGATCTTCTATTTTTGAGGAGCACAAAAAAGTGAATTCTGTTGGCTTGAGAAGCCTTTATATGGTAAACATATGTCAACAAACCTAGACACCAACATGTAATATTGGATGATCGTAAAGGAATTAGCTAATTGCTATCCTCTAAAAAAGAACTTCTCTTAACTGAATAATAAATGGCATGTCAATTTCTTCAACCTCAATGCCTTGACAGAAGTATATGAGATTGTTATCTTTCTGTACATTTCTGTTACACGCACCAAATAACAACTGTATACGAAATGCTAAAAGGAGTAATCATCAGACCTGTTCATTGAAAATGCATATCCATCTGGAGATCTATACTCTATGTCAGCAACAGGATCTTTGTTCCTAGCTGATGCCGCTTCCCCTTGCTTATCAGAACTGGTCTCCATTTCAGATGCTAGAGGAGGGCTGAGATGTGAACTGTGCAGAGCTTCCTGATTAGGCCTAACTAAGTATGGCATTGAGCCAAGAGTGATGCTACTACTGTTAGCTGTGCCGCTAGATCTAGTGCTGATAAAACTTGCTGCAGAAGGTGAACTACTAAGATCCAGGCTAGGAACCTGGATTCCATTATCAAAAGTAGCTAAACCTTGCTGCCATTGCCTGAAACAATAATTACATACCCGAATCTTCTCCCAGTCTTCTGGAGCAGTCCTTGGATCACTTGATGGAACAGGAACTGAGTTGGCTGTACACTTAGCACAGAAAACTCGGCCACAAAGTCGACAATGATGCCTGCGGTTGATTATTGTAAATTGAGAATCACACTCGTAGCATACCCTACAACTCTGATCGGGCATCCAAAAATCCCTTGACACGCTAGCTGGCTCAGAGCGCCAAGGGATCCAGGATTTCAAAAGGCAAATTAGCTCAGAAAACGTCTTGCCAGAAGATTCCATCTAAAACCAATCCTTACTGCCCCGTTCATTATGCTATACTCATTTGCCACTCTTAGCCAACTAACAATATCCAAAAAATTTATCTTGAATCAATAGATACAAACCTAACAGACCAAGAAATCAAACTCTCTACTACTATCCAACACCAATTATTCATTTCATCGCTGAACAATCAATCATAAAAATCCCCTGATTGATCCAAAATTCAAATAAACCACTCCCACCTTCAATATGCTCGAACATGCACTTTCAACTTCTTTGTGACTCAGCCCATAACTGGCCTCAATACCCCTATTAAAAACCTAGCAAAAATCAAGAAATAACCTATTCACTCACAAAAAAACACTAAACTTAAAAATACCCAGAAGCTCAAAACTGCAGAAAACCATGGAAAACGATCTCAACCAGTAGAATTCAAATACAAAATTTCTTCTTTTCAAAAAACCCACCAGCCCTTTACAACTAAATTGATCGAATCGAACACCCCAAACAAAATTAATGCAAATCTGTCTCTAATCTTTCCTTACAGGAAGAGGAAAAAAAGGTCTGATTGAACAGATACAATACATTAATGTGAAAAAAAAAATTTTAAAAAAACAAAGACGAAGATGCAAACTTTATTATTATTACCTTGAAAAGACAATCAACAACAACAACATAAGATCTTGTTCTCCAAGCGATTTAAGACACGTAGTCAAATCAATCCGTGACAAAAAGGGTAGGTGCTGATTTGCGATTAAAAAGCCTGGCTGTCTACCCAGATAGCGATTCTCTTAAAGAAGCAATCAAATTTGAATGAACGTGTAAAATTATCACCATCACTATCATCATCATGTATTTCTTCCTCTCCTTTTTTTGTCTATGGGAAAACCAAGCTGCTCCATTTAATAACAAGAATAAATAAATGAAAAATCAAAGAGCGCCTGGAATTGGAAATAATAAATTTGTGTTGAGTACATGATCAGGCAATCTTTCTATATCCAGCTATGAGCTATGTAATTGACATAGGAAATAGCAAGAATAATAATTTATACCCTTTTTTTTTTCCTTTTTTCATTTTTTCCCCCTTTTTTGGCTCAAGTAGTAATAATGAAAGTTATGTTTACCATTTCAAAAAAAAAAAAAATGCTAGATATTTAATTTTTTTTATCATTTATTATTATTATTTTAATTTTTGAATGGTTAAGATTGGGAAGTACTTGGTTGATAATAAAAAATAATAATAAACGGTTTTGTCTTGATGAGTAGAAAAATAAAATACCCTGAAATTTTAAAAGTTCGAGAATGCCCTCAAATTGAGTAACAGAGGAAAGGCGTGGGCAGGTGTCATAGAGATTGTGGATAACAAAGGATAGGCATTTGGGTTTTGACTGTTGACTTCTAAACCAACTTGTCTCTGTGTGTTGTCTTTTGCTTTTATTTTCGTGCTCCAAGCTTTTTTGTTAGTTTTTTTTTTTTTTCTTTGGATTTGTTTCCCAAAACGCGTTTTTTGCTTTCTGTTGACGTCTCACCTGCCGTTTCTGTTTGGCAAGCGAAGTATGCAGAATGTTTGTTTCGCTGAAATGATAATAATAATAATAAATAAATAAATAAATAAAAGCTGATAAGTGTATAATATATATATTTTTTTTATTTCTAAATGTGTCTATTACGTTATTAAGTGTATATCATTGGATCAAGTTTTACCATTTAAATTGATAAAACTATACTTTTTTATTCTCAATTTCTCTTGAATTATATAAAAAATAATATAATATTTTTTTCATAGTTAATCAAAAAATAAAATATTAAATATTTTAAAGTTACTCAAACATTAAAAGAAAATTTAACAAAAAACTATAACTTCAGTATGTTTCTTATCTCAAATTTGTCTCTTAAGCCCCTGTAACTTCAATTTGGTTAATTTGAACCTTTGTTTTCTTTCAACGTAACAAAAGAAAATTTAATTTAGACATGATGATAATCTACAAATTTTAGATATATAGTGTCTTTGAAAAAATGGTGAAAAATAGCCTATTTCTTTGTCAAACTAAAAATATGCAAACAAAGCATGATTTCAATTTTAATTCAAAGTTGATTTTTGCTCTTAAAAAAAATATATATATATATATAAAGAAGCAAACTTGACTTTAAACCTATTCTAAAACTCTCCCCCGTCTCCAAATCTCCAACACACCTCTATAATTCCCATCATCTTTTTATTCTGAGATTCATGAACATAAAATATTCGAATCATAGAGTAGGTTGCAACAATAATTGCGATATTGGCTAGAAATTTGAAATGGCGATTCGGATGTTACCAAATTAAAGCAAACAGTGGTTGAGGATGCAATTCTTCATCAATTTTTTTTCGTTTTTTTTTGTTTTTTTTAACAATTTTGATTATGCTGTGTGCTTGAGGGTCAATGTTTTAAGATAAGTGGTTAGAGTTCTGAATATTTTTTGGTGATCGGAGGAGTAGGGTGATAAAAATTTAGGAAAAAATCTTTAAAACAAAATTGATCTCATGAACCACGTTATTAAATAAACATTTCTTAGTTTATTTAAATGCCATGTCAGAAAATTAATAACCAAAAGTAACATATGTCATCTGTTAGGCTTAATTTATTGCAATTAGATAATTTTGGCTAAAAGTAACATATTTTATGGATGAGGCTTAATTCATTGCAATCGGATAATTTTGGTTTCAATTAAGGATGACAATAGACGAATATCTAATCTATTAATTTAATTTTTTTATCATATCTATAAAAAGAATATTTTACTTGTTATTCATTAAAAAATCATCATATAAATCTTTACACAAGCATATACCTAGTTCATCTTATTTTATTTGTCTATTTAGTATCCATTTAATACTCGTTAAAAATAATTTATCAAAATATTTTGTTTTAGTCTTTATAATTTTCAAGAGAAGTTTTTTTGTCCTTAAAATTTAATTTTTTACATTTTGGTAATTTATTTATAAGTTTATTTGGCTCTCAAATTTTTTGAAAAAAATATTTTGATCATTAATTTTTAAATTTTATGCAATTAGATCTTTATATATTTAAAAAAATCAAAATAAATTAATGGATGTTAATAAGATAAAAAGGGAGTATTCGTATTCTGAAATTATATTAATGGATATATATTTTTTTATTTTTATTCATTTCAATACACATTAAATATTTTTAATAAATATTTATCGGATCGGATTTCATACCATGTCCATTACCATCTCAGTTTCAATTGACAAAATTAAAATTACAGAGACTTGATTGATAAATGGGGGATAACACAGGAGCTGATTTACAGGTTTAGCCCCCACCTTATAATGTTTATCCACAACATATATGTATCTCTCATCGTAGAAATATCTCATGCTGGCAATAAAAAAATTCATAAGAAATGACTGCAACCCTGCCAACCGCTAAAAATGTTTCCTGTACACCACTAAGGATTTTATTTTATTTTTTTTCTTATTGAAGAAGGTTTTTACATTCACTGAGTTTTCTGCAGCTGCTTGCATTAAATTTATCTACTTGGCTTTACCTGTAACTAATCCCAGAATGGGGTACAGGTTGCAGTCAGTTGACGGTCAAGACCAAACTACTGATCTCACTATTTTTGTTTTCATTAGCCGATTCAAGATGTAACTTTCTATGGAATAAAAAAAATCATTTTCATTTTAATAATATCAATTATCTACTGTCTCCTCCATGTTTTGTTTTAAAGGTTCAATAATTTGTAAATAAACGAGAAGAAAATAAACTAGTTGTGAGCAATTCAACCATTTTTGTTTTTTCTTAACCTTAAAATTTAATTTTCGCCTCTGAGATTTAAAGAGCGTCAAATGGTTTTAAAACTTTAATTTGTATTAATATTTTTATCCGTAAAAAAAGGTTATATAATAGTAAATGAACTCCTCATATGGTATTCGTTCATAAAGTTAAAGCATTCAAATACCACATGCGACAATGTGCAATTAGTGATATGTCTATGTCCTCGTCCAAAATTATAGTTATTTAAAAAAAAATCAAAATTTCGATTCCAACTCAAATACAATAAGAAGAAAAGAAACATCAATATTTCCATCAAGTTTTAAAACTTTGGTATTTTTTTTCATTTCTTGTGATAAAAGTAGATGAAATTACATTATTCTTGGCTCAAACAGTCCTAAAACAGCTCTTCATGCTGCATTTCCATACAATTATTCTGAAACTTGAAGAAAAATGAACTTAAAAATTAACAAGTTGTATCTTATTTCTTGTACTGAATATATTAATATTTACTAGAATTGTCAAAAAAAAAAAAAAATAGAACTTCTGTTTAAAGTTCACAATAACCAGAAAAAAAAAAAAAAAAAAAAATTCTAACTACCTTATTTTCCACGAGTTTCTCAAAATGCCCTCAAATTTGAGCCAAAATGTCAATGGATGAGGAGGGACTTTTTTGAACTTTGATGATGTTGGTTTTAAAGTATTGACTTTTAAACGAATAAAAATGTATGAATGTACATGATATTTTGTCTTGTGTTTTAATTGTCTTATTATTTTTCCTTTTTGGAAATTTGACCCAAAACGTCTTTACTTTTTGTTGACTTTCTTTATATGGGCACAAGCAAAACAAATTTAGATACAGAGTGTGTGCTTTGCGCCACTATACATTTTTTTTTATGGAAATATCTGGTTAGCATTACGTTAATTTAATCAAACGATATGTCAAACAAGGAAAAACTGGTTTTTGTGTAGAATATTGGTTCTTCCGATTATTTTGAAGACATTAGAATTTAAACACATGATTTGCTCTCTTTTTTTCCAACGCATTATCATATCCATGGTCATTTTTTCATAAATTTAAATACTTTTTTATGGTAATAAATATTTTTGGACTAATTTTTATGTTTAATTGAGATTTTTTTAAAAAAATCATTTTTAATACCAAATAAATCTTGTAACTTTGATTTTTTTTTAAAAAAAAAGAACAAATCTCCACAATCACTATTCCTTAAAATTAAT